TCCTAGGCATGCTATATCACTGAATCAGGTCAAAGGATACATTAATCACTACAGCAGGCTTCCTCAACCTTGGCCCTACAGATGTTTTTGGCCTACAACTCCCATGATCCCTAGCTAGCAGGACCAGTGGTCAGGGATGATGGATACTGTAGTCTCAAAACATCTGGAGGGCCGAGGTTGAGGAAGCCTGCACTACAGCATCATGTAAAAAAATGGACAACCTTTTCATTAGGAGCATTATGTTTATAATATGTTGCATACCAAATGGACTTCATATTTGTTTTGGTGGGGCCATAAATCCTAGCAAATACTTATAGATTTATATAAAATTGATTCTGATTGGTTATCTTAGCTGTATGGTATCCTACCCGTAGCAATACATTTGATTGCCTGAAATTCTATTGTTGAAGAGTCTTAATTATCAATGTCACAGTATCTTTCAAGGTTGGGGTTAGGAAACAGCGAGTTGTAGCAGCTGTTCAAAAGCTTTATTATTGCAATGGATCACATTTATTAAAGCCTCATAAAGTTACAAACAGTTGTAATAAAAGAACAGTTCCAACAATGTGAAGTGGTCCATTACACGTTGAGTATGACAACTTTATTATTACTATTACAATTATTAAAGAGAAATATATTGCACACGAAACCAGAAGCAAAGGACCATAACAGACCAACATATCATTGCAGCAACATAATCTTCCCTAAAATGCAAATAATTACATAGGACAATTCCATAAATGAGACAGTGAGTCACAATTACCAGGTAATATCTAGGAACGTGCTTTTCAATGAAACAAACTATTATTAGAGTAAAATAAGGAAACATACAGAAATTTGGGTTTTAAACTTCATTTGTACTGGACCCCAACGTCTGGCATGTATCAGGCCCTCAGAGGCAGCTATCATTCGAAACCATAAAGCAGTAACATTATAAACACAATAATAAAACAATTGCTGCTGCAGTATTAGATTGTAAGGGCCTTTGAAATAGCTATAAATAAAGGCCCTCTTCGAAACACTTAAAAGCCATCAGTGAATGTCGCTGACTTTCCACCTGATGGAAGAGGTTCCCCAGAGTGGATGTCACAACTGAGGAGGTCCTGCCTCTCATAGCTTTCAGCTTTGTTTTCAAAGGCTGAGGCCCTTGGAGAAGGGTCTCATAAATTTACTCAAGCACACCAGACGACTCATATGGGAGGAGATGGCCTTTGAAATATCTGGTCCTGGGACATACAGTGGTACCTCAGGTTACAGACGCTTCAGGTTACAGACTCCGCTAACCCAGAAATAGTACCTCGGGTTAAGAACTTTGCTTCAGGATGAGAACAGAAATCATGTTTCGGTGGTGCGGCGGCAGCAGGAGGCTCCATTAGCTAAAGTGGTGCTTCAGGTTAAGAATGGACCTCCGGAACGAATTAAGTACTTAACCTGAGGTACCACTGTAGAAGGAATAGCTAACCTTCAGGGGGTTTTGAGGGCTGCATTGAATCATAGTCAACCCTCCTGGGGACATGTGTTAAAAATAAGTGGGACCAAACTGTAAAAAATGGTATGTTGAGAATTCAAAGCTGCCTTCCAAAACCCTCTCCCATCATCTATTACACACTATTTTAAATCATTTTTAATCATTCATTATTAAATTCACTTAAGGCGAGCATGACCAAACTTGGCCCTCCAGCTGTTTTGGGACTACAACTCCCATCATCCCTAGCTGACAGGACCAGTGGTCAGGGATGATGGGAACTGTAGTCCCAAAACAGCTGGAGGGCCAAGTTTGGCCATGTCTGATTAAGAAAATAATAATATAAATTTAGAAAAATCAAAGGACAGATTTGGGGGAGGTGTCTTGGGGTACAAAAACAGTTAGAGATCACAGCTGGGGACCTATGGAACCAATAAATAATTTCATTTTCTTAAAAATATAAAATGTTTTTAATTTGTAAAAAAATGAACAAAAGCCGAGGTCCTTGAGAAGGCAAAAAACAACAAATTGAATTGCATTGGAAAACGCAATGTCTTTTGATGGCCTAGTGTCCCTCAGGCTGTCTGATGCAAAGCAATGCACTTCCTTCTTTATGGAAGCATTCAAACACTGGCAAAACTAGTGATAGAGATTTCAGATGTTATCAATAGACTTGATAGATAACTCTGGGCAGCCCTTCATCCAGAGAACAGGATATTCAATTAAAAAATCAGCTCTTTCTTAGAGACATAGTTCACAATGACACACATAAATGAAACTTCAAGTTACATATTATAATTGCATGCATGGTCTTGCAAGAAAGCCACCTTCATATTTCACAGAAATTGAAGTTGTTTTTTTTACAACCTAATAAACAAAAACTTCCCACTGGTCTTAACAATCTCTCCAGCCGTGCAATTTTAAAAGATCTGGAAACAAAACTGATTACTACACATTAAGCATCTACTATATTTTTTTGGAAATGATTTGTCTGTCTGTCCAACTGTTCTCTGTTGGTTTGGATGCTTATTATTGCCAAACTCAGCACAAGGTTTCCTGAGATGGGGGTAACAGTCATCAACATTTGGAAACTGGACACCATTTTGAATCAAGATAGAGGACTGAAATATAATTCAAACATGACTGACTTTTTGCCTTGGGTTTGATTGTTTCTCTAGATATTGTCACCAAACTTGGCATGAAAGGTGTGAGCAGTAGTCTCCATCAATGTTTGGTGCCAGGCAACAAATTAAATCAAAATGGTGGACCAAAACATGACTTTGCCATAACATCACCATTTTGAGGGGTGGGGTCCAAACTCACAAATTACACTATTCACTTAAAAATCACAATTTTGGGGTACTACAAATTTCCAGGCATGGCTAGGTACTCCCCACTAGCAGCATATAATTTAGCCTGAGTGAGTAGAACATGTATACGATTGCTACTTTTTATCCTCCTACTTAAGTCTGCATGTGGAGGCTGCATACAGCAAAATTATTATTTCCTTAAGAACAGCATGTATATATTATCTAGGTCTTTACCACAGCATACATGTCTATGTTTTTTTTTTCTTGCTATCATTGAGAATTGGGGTGTGTGTGTGGGTGTGTGTGGGTGTGTGTGTAATGGAGCTCACTGAAAAATCACTGTTGTTTTTGTCTGCTTGTTTGAGAACAGATATTCATTGTGTCCCTTTTTAACTTTTCTCTCCATTTAACCACATACATGTTTCACTCCTCCCCCCCCCCCGAAAGTCTATAAAAAAGAATAGGGTAGGAATACAAAGTTTCATATCAGAAATGAACTAACATCAGTATGTTGGCTAAATTATATGTTGTTGTTTTTTCTGGACTTCCTGTAATATCATCCTTATGGAACTTCTGAGCAGAGGTCAAGTTATTGCAGCTCTCAAGTCTTTATGGGTTTTATTATTTTTTGCAGACTTTTATAATAATAGGCTGTGAGGTAACTAGTCTTCCAAAGCCTGCAGCACCTTTTTTCTCTTTTTGTTGTTCTAATAATAATAATAACATAGCCTCAGGCTTTTTAAAATAGTTTGAACGCTCTAAAAATATGCATGCATCTTCAAAACTTATCTTGTCTTACATGAGGTCCTGCCAAGTTGTCGTCCCATTTTTAAGAAATATGAACTATGCATATGGAACCAAATTAACCTCTGGCACTTCTCCACTATGTAGGAGTATATTCTGCAAGTGAAATAATATTATAAACGAAGTGCATTTTCAGGACGGTTATTCCGAAACCTGAAGTAGCACCTGTACCTAAAAAATAAATACATCTCTAAATTATGTGTTAATTTAGTATTCATATTCATGTGTAGAATTGTGTTTGCCACTATTGTATAAGCATCTCTGTGACGACTTTCTGTGCTTGTGTTGAAAAAATAATAATAAAAGGGGGGGTGAGAAACGAAAGTGTTTTTTCCCCAGTAGTTATTCTATAACCTCCCTGCCACTGAAAAGTAGCATCAGCACCTGATTTATCCTAGGTGACTGCTGACTGGGAGTTACTGCTCATATGAGGCTATTCCTGTTATAACTCCTGTGAAAACAGGACATTCAATTCAACTAACGGCCAAACTGCATGTTATGATAGTCACACAGTTTGCCCTTAAGTGGAGGATTTTCCTCCCCCAACTTGTATCTGCAATGGGTCTGATCTGGACTAGCAATCCTCCCCCTTCCCACTCGCAGGTGCTAACACACACATGCAAACGCAAGTGCAGTTATTCTGTGGTGTTTAAAATATTTTATTTTGTCACTGTCATCATGTATTTGAAGTGGACAATCTCAGGTCTAGGGACCCAATGTGGCCCTCCAGACTTCTCTTACTGGCCCATGGGATGCTTCCTTAGCCACACACACACCCTTTCTTCCCAGGACACAGTCCTCACCGGTTTGCTTTACACCTTCCTTGAGTGTTTTGTCTAGCTGGAATATGACCTTCAATGACTCTTAAGTGGCCTGGATGGAGGATAAACAGCCGTTTTAGAATGTGAACAATCAGATTATTCCTTAGGGTGGGAATGATCATATATGCAAATATTGGGTGGGGGACACCTGTCTTGACAGCAAGTACATGTGAAAAGGATCTAGGGATCTTAGTAGACCAAAACTAATATGAGGGCAAACTTAACATGCATCAATAGTATGATGCAGCGGCAGAAAAAGCTAATGCTATTCTAGTGTCCAGAGTAAGGGAAGTAATATTTTGCCTTGGTCACACTTCACCTGGAGTCCTGCGTCCAGTTCTGGACACCACACTTCAAGAAGGATATTGATAAGCATGCCGATGAGGGTGACCAAGACAATAAAGGGTTTGGAAACCAAGCCTTATGGGGAGGCATGGACAGGTAAGCCGAGGCTGTAACTCTCTCTAGGCAGCACCAGGTGCCTAATCCTTGCTTGCCTGTCTCTGGCATGCTGGGGAGACGTGCTGAGTGGACACACACACACACACACACACACACACCCCATCTGAAATATACTCGGAGTCGAGTGTGAATTTCATGCTCTTTATTCAGCTCGTAGTAACGGACGTTTCTCTCCTTCGTGGCGTGCAAAAGATGAAACATGCGCTTAGCCAGGCACCAACTCTGCGAAGCAACAGGAGCGGCCTATCAAGGCGACTAAGATGGTCTCACCAACACCCCTCGTGGAACTCTCGACGATGGTTCCCTCTCCAGTGCTGTTCTGATGAGAGGACGGAGGGGCCCCGCAACTGCCGCTCGGAGAGTAGGGGCGTCTGGAGTGACAAAGAGGAACCGCGCGGCGCACCCAGAAGGCGGAACTTGCCACCAGAGGCCGCTCCGCGCAAGACTTTTACGCGCGCCACAGTCTCCGCCCTTCGCGGGCTACTGCGCGTGCGGCCGATCCGCCGGGTGGTCACGGGATGTGGGGCTGACAGGGGAGCGACTCAGTGGGGCTGGCGGAGCCATGGGGCGCGGGAGCCGCCCGAGGGGACCTTTCTTGCTGCCGCTGCTGCTGCTGCTGCTGCTGGCGGCGGTGGCGAGCGGCGAGGCGCCCTCGCTGCCTCTGGTCCTCAACACCTGGCCCTTTAGGAAAGCCGCCGAAGCAGGTGCTGTCTCGCTTCCTCCAGGGCTTCCGTGGTTGCGCAGAGGAGAGGCTCGAGCGGGCGGGGAGGAACCCCTCGCCCCGTCCTAGGTTTGCCCCAAACTTCGTTTGGGCTCCCCCCACCCCGCACCCCGTTTTCTAGATTCATGATCCAGCCCGGGTCTCAGCGCCACATCGGCAAAGATCCTTGCAGGCGGTTGTGTGCGTGCTGCATGCTGGCATCTATGGGCTGGGAGAACATCGCACGCTGGCATTAGATGTCTCGAGCAGGATGTGTTGAGCCTTCCTAAAGTCAGGCGTTGAGGAGAAACAGAAGAGCAAAGCAGTCGCTTTTTTGGAGCCCAGGCCCTCCGATCACTTGGGGCTAGTGAAGCAGTAAGGAGGCCCCCTGCTTGGAGGGTTGGGGAGGAATTCAAGCTAACCAGATTTGGGCTGGTTGGAGAGGGAGACTTCACCTTCAGCAGTGTCCTGCCGGACCCTAGGACCCAATTGTTCTCTCCTCCCCCCTCCCTTCCCCTTTTTCTTATTTACGGGAGCCACTATCTCAGTCCCAAAAATCTGTGGGGAGAGGAGTGGGAAAGGCACTCTGTGCATGTTCAACAGTGCCCTTTTTTAAACAAGACTTAATGTTTGCATTGAAATACGAGAAAGGGTGGTGACAGTTTAAGCCTGGTCAGATGAACTAGCCGTCCACACTGCTACTGTTAAACTTCCTTGGCTTTTCTCTGCTACTTTCCTCTTCCTTGTTTGGTGTGGGACATTTTACATTCTGGTTTAACGAGACATAATCTACATTACTTAGTGCACGTTAGTCAGTTTCTTAGTGTAGCACTGTTACAGGCAGGGCACTTCCCCCTTCCATTTCAGTGTAGGTCTTTTGATGAAGGGGTTCTGATCCACAGTAATGTGGCAGAAGGGCTCTTAGCATGGCATTTTATTAACACTGGAAACACTGGTGTGCTGCTGTGTCTGCAGAAGTTCAGCTTGTGTTGTGTTCTGTATTAGCTACATAATTTGGTCTACTAGGCCACAGCAACATCTTGTGGCCAGTTGTGCAACATAGATTTCTGCTGGCAGCTCTTGTGGTGGGTGTCTTCACTGGATTCATAACAGCAACATCAGACAGTGCACAGATATGATTTTACACAGTGTGTAAAAAGCGTACTCACTTCCTTCTAGTGAGTGTGCATGCATCTGGGAAAAGATTAATGCGTCCTCTCCCTTGCCCAATATATCCATAAAGTTTGTGCTAAAGTCCATCTTGAGGAAATTCTTGCACCATAAGTGACATGCCTGGCTTGTGAAGGAAGCATATGGAGCAACATTAAATGGTTTTAAACCCCTCAGTGAAATGCCATACAAATGGTTTAAAAATATTTTTTTTTCCCTTTAACTAGCACATTGTTGCCATATAGTGAGGGTTATCCCATCTCCACCCAGTCCATTCCTGTTTTGCTGCAACTTGATGCAGACATGTAGCCAGGAAAACTTTCCCCGCCATTTATCACCATGCCAGAAAAAGCTTCCCCACTTAAAAGAGCAGGGCCAGGTTTTTTTATTATAAAAAATGGAAGTTATCTACCCTTGTGCTGCTTTGCTTTTACTTCTAAACATAATTGGCTCATTGGAGACTCTGGGCTTGAAGAAAAAGAAATTAGAATGAACTCAACATTTGTCACATCAGACAAATACGCCATTTTTAATCTATAGCTTGCTTGCCAACTGTGGCTGATGCCAGATTGGCAGGGCAGGGCAGGGGGAGAATACAATGAGAAGCAGACAGTTGACAATTAATGTCTAGGAATCCCAGGTTTAAGAGTTTTGCCACCGATGCTACATTCCCTGAACATGATGGATTTAGTTTTCTGGTACTTATTGACCAGCCTCCATAAAATCAGGACAATGAACACTTACACATTTGCACTGTACTGTGTATTCTAGGGATGGGAATTGGGGGTGTGCTTTTTAAGAATATGACTTCTACGTAGTTTACATGTGGAGTGAGTGGGATTTTTTTGTTGTTGTTCCTTTCAGCTTGGAGTACCTTACTGGCAGGTGGTTCTGAACTGGATGCAGTAGAGAAAGGCTGTGGTCAGTGTGAAGTTGAGCAATGTGATGGAAGTGTGGGGTATGGAGGACACCCAGATGAACATGGAGAAACAACATTGGATGCTATGATTATGGATGGGTAAGGAATCCCACATCATTCCTAACAGGCATAGGGGTTCTGCTATCAATTGCACGCAGCTCCTCCATGTTCAGAATCTTCCCCATTCACTTCAAAGAGTAGACAGTTTTGTTCTTGCTGCCCTCTCCATTGAAAAGCTGATGGGAACCTATGAGCCCAGAAGGGCATGCGTGCATCTGAGACTAACTGGGCTGTTACTAGGGATGGGGTTTTTCTTCTAAATCTTTATGTCAGTCTTATCCACACATATATATTTTTTTCTAGTTTCTGTTTCACTCCTTGATCTCAAGAAGTACAGTTTCTTTACTGGCTTATTGCATTATTATGCACATTATTTCATACACACTCGAGGGTCTCTAAAGTAACTAGCAGATAAACAAACATATGGCAATGTATGTAACTGGCCCTGCTCTCATGTGCACTAGTAGCAATAGAGTGTATGCATTTGGTTTAGCAAGTCAGGTTTAGCTCTATTTTTTCCTATCACTAAATATGCTTTAAAATGTCAGTTTAAAGAGAGCACATGCCCATCTGAACTGTAGTCTATAGCAGTGGACCCCAAACTTTTTTACCCACAGACCACTTGCAAATTGTTGAGGCTGACCACTTAAATGGTTTTTTCTGCCTGCTGTAGCAATCGTACTGTGCTAGATGCTGTATGAATTTTAATTGTGTCTTTATTGCTGCTTTAATTTCCTGCATATTGCATTTTATTCTATTACAATGTGAATTCCATAGAATTCACATTATAATACATTAAAATGCAATATGAGAAATTAAAAGCAATTAGAATGCAGTTAAAAGTCAGAATGAATATTTAAAGCAATAGATGTGTTATATTCAACTACAAATCCACAGACATGCCACAAACCACCTGAATAAACCACTCATGTTCTGTGGACAGTCATTTGGGAATTCCCCATCTACAGGTTCAACCCATTTAGTCTAATGGGATTGCAAGTAACGTTTGGACACCAATCTTCATTTTTATACTTATCTCATGCTTGTCCTTTAGATGTGGCATACATTATTCTTATACTCTGCGTTTCTTGATTTAAACTTAAGACTCTGTTTGTCTGTTTTGCTTTTGGGTACATTTGTCTGTCTTTGGTCCAGTAATACTATGGAAGTTGGGGCAGTAGCTGATCTCAGACGCGTAAAAAATGCTATTGGCGTGGCACGGAAAGTGATAGAGCATACTCAGCACACCTTATTGGTTGGAGAGTCAGGTAACTTCCTTCATTTTGCTCCCTTGAAATTTTGGCTCCGCCATGCAGTGGTGGAAGGCAGCCACCTCTGTCCAAATGAAGTTAAGTTGCCTTGCTGGTGTCAAGAACTTTGTCACGAGTTGGTTGTGACAAGTTACTTGATTTCATTAAGATACAGTGCAATGCTTTAGCGCAGGTGTGGGGAACCTCTGGCCCTCCAGATGTTGCTGAACGACCACTCCCATCATCCCTGGTCATGCTCACTGGGGCTGGTGGGAACTGTCGTTCAGTAACATCTGGCAGGCCAAAGGTTCCTCACACCTGCTTTAAATGGATAGGGGCCACTGTGCTCTGGTTTGGCTTGATAGGTTATTTCTGCTCTCTTCATCATGCACTCCAGTCTCATTAAGTTCACAATTTTGTTTTGTTTGTTTATTAAATTTCTATACTGCCCTTCATCTGAGGATCACAGGGTGGTTTACAGTATAAACACACACACACACACACATTGGCAGCTAGTGCAGTTGAGCCAGGATTGGTGTTATATGCTCAAACCATCTTTCTACAGTTTTTATCGTAAATTTCGAACCATCTTCAGAGGCAGGCCCATGTATAACACATTGCAGTAATCTAACCTAGAGGTGTGGTGTTTACTCCCAGTTTGGAAAGGTCCCGTCTCCTCAAGGTGGGCAATAGAGGCATTTTTGTTCTGCCAAATTTTTGAGGTGTTAATTTTATCAAATTATGGTTTTGTTTGTGTATTTATTATTATTGAATGCTCTTGTATGTAGAAGAGGATTTTTCATTTTTTTGTATACTTGGTTGGGGAACTCTTTTTGGAGACCAAAGGTAAATGTTTTTTATAGATTAAAATAATAAATTTGTATTGAATCGCAGCCTTCAGTGAAAAAACTCAACACTGATTTTTGGAACTTTAGCATTAGAAATTATTCTTTAAAAAGTATAGCTGCAACAGATAGCTCAGAAAGGATTCTGTGAAAACACAAGCTGTGCAGTTATAAATATGATGTCCCCAAAAACACTTTTCTCTTTAAAAAATTTAACAGGGAAAAAATAGAAACATACTTCAGATATATTAGATAAAAGCAATAGGATATTTTTTTAAAAATAATCAATACAGTCTAAAACATTCTACTTTGAATTCTTAAAGTTTCTATCTGACAGTGTAGTGGAACATTGCTGTTTCTTATCACAAGTCTTTCATTTATGGATTCCATGTTGCAAATTGATATACTTCCTCTTAGTTTGCTATCAGTCTTCAGCATTCTGAAGCCCCCTGATATATGTTCTTGTTCTAGAAAATGAGAAAGGCATTTCTGTTGAGGACAAAATCATAATAATGTATACACTTGTATAGGGCAGTGACTTGGGCTCTGACTGCTGTAATACAATATGAAAATGGTTTACAAGTGCCATGCCGTGTTTTCATAGAGATCTCGATGAGCTGAAAAGTGTCCTCTTGCACGCTTGTTGAATTGCAAATACAGTTACATAGAAAAAGAAATTACTCATTATTTTCTGTTCTATAAAGCCTCACTATTTGCAGAAAGCATGGGGTTTCCAAGTGAAGACCTGACTACACAGAGCTCTCTTTCAATGTACTTACAGTGGCTTAATCGAAACTGTCAGCCAAACTTCTGGAAGGTAAAACACAACTTTCTCCCTTGTTTTTTCTTGTTTTATAAACCTGGTGGCTACACTGTATTAAATATTGTTCTGCCACCAATCTTGGAGGCAGTATGCCTCTGGATGCCAGCTGCAGGGAATTGCAAGCGAGGAGAGTGTTGTTGCACTCAGGTCCTGCTTACAGGCTTCTCATGGGAATCTGGCTGGCCACTGAGAACAGAATGGTGGACCAGATTGGCCTTGGGCCTGATCCAGCAGGGCTCTTCTTATGTCTGCAACATTCCCAGCACCCCACTCCATCATTGGAGCAAGCTGCAGGGGAAGAGGAATGTGCTGTGTACCAAAGAACAAATGTATGTGAATGTGTACAAGAGAGTTCTCCGATGGAGCTAGGCCTATGGAGCCAAAAGGTCCTGTTGATCAGCTTTGAGGGTCCTGCTCTTCAGTTCTCTTTGGCCTCCAGTCGAGCTAGAATTGGTCACTGCTGATACCAGCTTCTGCTAACCAGTTCAACTTGAATCCTTCCACTGCATCTGATTCTTGCTCTTTCATATTATCTGCCTTGTAAGTGTTGGGCACCTGATAATCCTATCTGTGTCCCCCTGCCATCACTGGACAGTTGCTTTTAAGGAGTTTTATGTACCCAGGGACTTCCCCGTGTTCTTCTATTCACCAGATCCTCTGTGGGAGCTAGGTTTAAGCTTCTTGTTTATCTTTCTCATATGTTTTCTGCTCTTCCCCCACCTTGGAACTTTTTAGCTTTGTGCCATGATTAGAATCCACACATTGTTATTTCGTATAAACAAGCCCAAGCTCTGCCTGCTGTTTGCCTTATTTTTAAAATCCTAAACTATTTTTATGTTCTGGTTAAGATTTTTTTTTTAAAAAAATTGCCTCTAGCCATGCATCTGGAATTCAGGTTCATTTTAAGATCTGCTCTGAGCCTGCTGTGATCCTGATAAGTGTGTAACCATTAAATCTCTGTGGACCCGTTCAGCATGGGCATTTTTTGTTTTTATGCTACCTCGCTCAGATGTATAACTATGGGCATACTTAAAAAAATAAATCTCCAATTAGATATTTACTGTTAAGAAATATAATATGGAACTCCGGTACTATTCGTTTATCATTGAATCAGAAGCCTATTGTGATTTGTGTAAAATGTTTTCTTCCTTCGTTGTGCATGCAGATCCCACCCTCTTGACTATCTATACCCTTCAAGTTATCCCTGCAGAAAACACAGGCTATGTAGAAACCTGTAGAGGGACCTCTGCACCCAAGATCGTAGGAAGAAAGTTGAAAGATAATAACCTTTAAGGCTAGCAGGAGAAGTCTGTGTGGCTAAAGCAAAGTCTTTCTTAATTATTGTAACTTGAGCCACCAGCAAAAGGGGAAAAATAGGGTGTGTTAGATTGTAAAGGGTGTTTGCAGGGTATGTGGAGTGGAAGTAGAGCAAGTTGAATTATCCGGCTTCAGCGCCTTTAGCCGTATGGTTTGTCTATAAAGTTGTCTCATCACAATCAGCATCGATGCTCATGAGGATTGAGAAAAACTGATCTTGAATTATAGCGGTAGGTGGTAAGACAAATTATCATGCTGCGTTTTTTGCACATAGAATGTTGATGTATTATTTCTCTGCTGGCTGTTCATTGTAGGAAACATTTGCAAATCACATAACGTGGAATCTGAGCAGGGCTGCGATAACTAGAGTGTTTTGAGTATTGAGTTACTCTAAATTGAGGGAGATGCTTTTGTCTGTTCATTGTTTAAAGCATCTGAGCTACAGTAATTTGCCTTCGATGAAACTTCTTCATCCTTGGCATATACAGAAATCTTACACTATTCTTTTAGGATGACGGGGGGGGGGGAGGGATAGAAGACAGGTTTGTTTGAAATGCCAGTTTGCTTTTCTTCCAAGATTTTAATGTGAATGAAACTTTGATTGCAGAGTGTGACGCCAGATGCTTCAAAATCATGTGGCCCATACAAGCAGGCTGCAAAGTTCACCAAAGAAGAGCGGAGTGTATCAAAGAAAAGAATAGATGTTCATAACCATGACACTATTGGTATGCCTTCTTGACAGCAGCTTATTTCATGCTGCAATCCCTCTGCTTGTTTTAAATGAGTCACCAGAGAAACTGAATGTGAATAATTTTAAGCGGGATGTAAGGACACAATCCACTTAAGAACAAACTCTGCCTGATGCAGAGATAACATCAGTGATTCAGCAAGACATTTCCCAAGCGTGAAGCCCTAGCACCCCATAATGTTGAATGCTGTGCTGTCAGATTACACATAGTTGCCTCTCTGCTGGTTGTGGGGCTCTGCCCAGGAGGGTGAAATGCTACTGTGTGTAGGAGCCTTGAAATGAGGAGTCTTGAAGCTGATCATCAGCAGCCTTGGATCCACTTGATCCAAAAGTTCCTCGGGCTTCTCAGCTATGTCAATATATTGCTGGCATAGTGAAAAATTTCACGGAAGCCACCTTCCACCTTGGCAAGCATGAGCTGGTAGGACTTGGGATGTGGAAGGACACCTGCCATGTTAGCCCTCACCCCATTCTGTAAATCTCCCTACTTACTGTAGGAACCTGGCCTGTGCTTCTCTGTTTAGTTCTAGAATTAGGAATGTGACATTCTATTCGCCTTTCACCCTTCCTTCCCAGTCCCTGTACATTCATACATTCATTCTACAGATATATGATGAGCATTTTACATGGTCTGATGAGGCAGAACTTGTGTTGGTAGAACATGATTATCATCCAAAATCGAAGCACCACTTTGTTTTCAAGCAGGAACAACTTAATTTACTCTTTTTGCTTGCTAGTTTGCTGAACGTGCATCAAGAGTGCTCCTTCTTGAAGAAGTAATTTCAAAATAAGCTTATATATTCCAGTGAATTGATCATCCTAGTGGATATTCCAGAACTACATAGGTCTGGAAGTTTTTTTTTCAAATAAGCTCAAGTTTCAACTTTACATTTTGCAAAATTAGCTGAAGATGGGGCGGGGCGGGGGACGACGACTTTGTTTGGATCCAGCCTCTTCCATCTGCATAGTAATTAAATTTGGAATTTACAGAAGCACCTAAGTGACTTGGGAGCACAAGCCTCAATCCCAGACACTTAAGAGGCACTTCTAGTGTGATGATTAAATTCGTCACCACCAAGTAATTAGCATTTTAAAAATGTCAAATGCCAAGGTTCTTGCTAATCTAAAGGTGTGTCCTTATGAACTGTTGCACCTTGGCAGTTTGCCCAAGCCAGTGATTTATTCTTTGCTTCCCTTCTTTGGGAGGCAAAGAAAGAGCAAAACTGAACTAGGCTACTGTAGACAGTTGCATTCTGTAGGCAAATTGCCTACTTGGCAAATAATTGAATGCAAACTTTGAACAATTGCTTCATGCTGTGTCAGTTGACACTATGTTTATGGCACTCGCTGCCTTCCAGTAGCCAGTGCATGAATTATCTGGATGTGGGTCTATAAATTAACAATTAAGTGTCCTAAAATATGTATTTCCACACTTGAAGTGAATGATTATAATGCCTCCCATCTGAAGCCAGGAGCCAAAGCCCATGTTTCTGACTTAATCTGCAGAATTATGGGGCAGACTGTGATCCTGGTGATCATCTGTCTTCGCAGATGGAAGATTTTCTTTCTTTAAACGTAATAGATGGACTCTAGGGTGGAGTTACTCCAAACGTAAAAGAGGCCTAAGGAAGGCAAACAGTTCCCAGGTGAAGTGGATCCCATCACCATCTAGTTGTGATAAAAAAAGATTGTGGCGACTGTTGTATATTACCGGGAACTCTTAAAATAGGTGTGAGGGACCCCCAGCTTCCAAACCTGATTGCACCTGTCAGGCCTCCCATTTGGCCTTCAAGACCATTTTGGCCCAACTGCACACAGCTGCTGTCATATATGTTGTCAGTATGGGCCAGGTCAAAAGGTGGCTTAATTGAAAAGGGGTTTGCAGGCCCGGCTGATCAGCAGTGCCTGCAAAGCACTATGTAAAACAATGGGCAAGATCGTGCTTTGTCCAAGGGTTACATTGCCCAGAATTTAGAAAGGGATTTCCTGAGCTCCACCCACCTGTCAAATTTGGCCCATGAGGGGATGGGGAGATAAACGTTGTAACTCACTGGTCAAACCCAGTTCCCCACTTTTGTCTGAAGGACAGCAGGAGTCTGGTCTGTTTTAAAGGGTGGTCGCCTAACATTACCCCTATCCAATTAACAAAATCATTAACCCATAATGCTGCTTCTAAATTCCCTACCTGTTTTCATTTGTAGGCATGATTGTGATTGGTCAGAATGGAAGCATTGCTGTGGGGACGTCAACAAATGGTGCAGACCACAAAATTCAGGGGTTAGTGTCACAATAAAATCAAGATTCCTTATTGATGAGATTTGTTTTCCTTTCTTGAGTGCTGCTTATAGTAAGCATGAGTGTGTATGTGAACTGCTGCTGTAGTGGTAATGATTTTTATATTACTTGAAAGAAGGATTTTGTGGATATGTGAAGAATGCATGAATTTGTTTTCTGTCTTCTTCCTCTGCAATTCTATCCGTTTTAGAGCTGTGCTTGATTATATTGGATGTTTAAGTTAAGTGTTGCCTTGATATTTCAGCCCAGTTCAGCAAATATAATAATAAATATTGCTGTCCAAAAAGAACAGAATTGAGGCATGAAAAAACAAAATCTGCTATTATATACTGAGACTTACCACTATAACTTCTTGAGGTGGTAAGCTTGTGTCTGGGCTGTACTGACTACAGTCAGGGACTCCCATGACTGAACTATCCTCTGCACAGAAAACTAAATGTTGGGGAGAAGCAATTCTAAGTTTTGTGGTTTTTGGTTTGGGGGTGTGTGTCTTATTTTTTAATGGACAAACATTCTGTCATGTATTTTGCAAGGGAAATTCGAGCTCATAGTAGGAAACTTAGACATGCGCAATGAAAGTGCTCTGTATAGAAAAGTGTGGCATGAACAAATGATTGGTGGGAAGACACCCCAAAAGCAGATCAGGATGAATGGCCTAAGCTCTCCTCCTAAAAAAACAGAAACAAATCTGAACGAATTCTCAGTAAATACCAGACATGGTGTAACCTCTGCCTAAGCTTTGTACGAGCAAATCTGGACAAATGCTTTGTCTGGCAGAGTCCTGAGATTGTACATGTAGCTCCGAGAGGTTTACTCGAGGCAGGCACAGGTTTACTACCTCAATGAGAAACACGCCTCAGCGTGTCTTTGTTGCTAGCTTGTTTGTGACTCTGTTGGAACTATCAGAATCTTTCCCCATCGCCTGGCTGTTTTCATTGGATTAACATCGCCTTCTTCTTTCTTAGACGTGTGGGAGACTCTCCAATTGCTGGAGCTGGAGCATATGCAGATAGTACAGCTGGAGCTGCAGCTGCCACTGGAGATGGGGATTTGATGATGCGCTTCTTGCCCAGGTTTTTATATTCTGTGAACTCTTTGGGTCTTTTTGATACTGGGCTTCATTGTGAGACCACCCTGAGGTAAAAGATGGGCTTTGTACAGGCAAGCTCGGAAGCTGCACTGCACTGCTTCAAGCCTTGGGGGTGTCACTAGGCATGCCCATAGGTCCTTCGTGATGTAGAAAAACAACATCATCCTGGGGATTTTGCTTAGCCTTGTCCAAACACTAGTTATCAAGCAGGATTTTGAACTAATAATAGCTATTTCACATTTCGTTTAAATATGCAGACTCTCTTTCTACATTCCTAGCCGTAGAAGAATTTTGAAGGGAACTAGTGTTCAGTTCATATTGCACCCAAGCATTAAGACCTGGACAAATTCATATTCCAAACCAGTTAATTATGAGTTTTTGATAACAGTTAGACCCAGGGGATTTGGTCACAGTGGATCACTAGGGCCAAATCAAACCATTCCAGAGATAGGGAACCACCACTAAAAAGGCCCTGTCTTGGTTTTTTAATCCCGTGTCAACGTTGGGGCAAGTTCGTGCAAGATTCCCTTTTTGTTATCAGCAGAGGAGGGGTTTTTTTAAGGTTCATTTTCTCCCCCTTGGCATACTATGCCACTTGGAGAACCTTTGTGTTAATATCTGTTTGTTTATTTTCCTTAAATCAGCTATCAAGCCGTGGAGTATATGCGAACAGGAATGGATCCCACCATAGCCTGCCAGAAAGTTATTTCTAGAATTCAGAAATATGAGCCATACTTCTTTGGTGCCGTTATCTGTGCCAACACGAGTGGAAGCTATGGTACGTCCACCTCAAAAGTTTGTTTCATGCAAATTTATAGGTTGGAATAAGTTCGCAACACTCGGATTCTGTGTTTGTTGCCCATTTGTCGCATCAGCATGCAGGAAAGGGCTCAAAACAAAATATTCACTTTTTCGGGGGGGAAACAGAGTCTGAGACTCTGCTTCAAAGCAATCCAAGATCAGTCATGCTGGGTATCTCATTATTGAGCCCTTGGATCACCATGCAGAATCATTTTGCTAATCGATATGACGTATTGGGTTAGGCTGCTCAGTGCACTTCTTTTATCTTTGATTTCCCACAGTTCTCCGTTTGAAAGATTAGAGACTCGTGGACTCATTACATTTGCCAGTATTAAGATGTAAATTGAAACAAAATATACTAAACTTGGAATTATATTTTAGGTTGTGAAGGCCATAGTGCTAGCTGGAGACTCTTTCGTCTTCAAGAGTTTAAAACAAGTGAAGGAAAGATGACTTTTTTTAAAGAAAGCGCAATGCTGGGTTAATTAAGGCTGTAAAAGAACAATTGCCCAATTGTAGTTGAATTAATAGTGGGATCCTTAGATGTTAAAAGCACAAGAAGACAGATTAATGCGCCTCTCATAGTTTGTTCTCTCTTTATTCTCTTATCTCTCCCTTTCCTGACACAGGTGCTGCCTGCAATAAAGTTTCAGGATTCACACAGTTTCACTTTATGGCTTCTAATCCCACTTTGAAGCAACCATCTGAGCAAATAATAGACTGCATTTAACACAGCCCCCCCCCCCCCAAACTTAAAGAGTTCACTGGAAGAAACGAAGACGACAAAATTAAACTTTTGCCATTGCCGTTTTTTACAAAAATTAGTTGTGCACACAATTTACCCATAAATTATAGCGCAGAGGGGTTACTGACTTGTGCCAAGGAGCCTTTATGCTCTGTCTTAAGACTGTAATCTTTTGGCCCTTGGGAGGAGGGGGGGCAGAGAAAGAGAGTGCCAGATCTCCACCCCCTAGGCTTTCCTGCTGCCCTACTGACATCAAAGAGAGAGCAGGAGCCATCGCTGTCTCATCCTCCTGACATGCTCCCAGAATGGGAAGATTTCCCCTCAAGATTTCTCATTAATTTCCTCCCAGTTATTTTCTGTAGGGGGGTAAATGTTCCAAACTAAATAAGGTAAAAGGATAGAGGAGGGTTTCCGTGAGTCTAGCAGGAAACTGAATTTTAGGTGGCCTTCACTCTCCGCCCCTACAATTTAAAATTGTAGCCTTAGTTTTGCTTTCCCATATTGCTGACCCTTAAGTAAATTTAAACAAAATAAGCCGAGTAAAGAAATTCACTCAAATATATGCTGAGATATTTCTCAACTTCAACCAAAGTGGCCTACCGTCTCTGCGAGAGAAGAAACGAATGTGTCAAGCCCAGCCATTTTGAACAAACCCTACCACAAAGCCTTCCTCTCGGCTGACTTCTGTTTTGAAAGATCCGCCGGAGTTCTCTTTCCTATCTCTGGATGAGGAATAGCCCTGCCAGGACACTTCTGAATATGCCCCTTCTGCCAGAAACAGCTGGAAATGCAGCTTCAAGAATGGAGGAGAAATGCAACAGGACAGGGTTTCAATATTAGCTACGCACTGCTACATTCCACCTGATATAAAAGAAACCACCTATCAAATATACAGCATGAGCACTCAGCTGTATGAGTCCTGGAAGGACTGTTGGTTATGTTAGTTGAGTACTGACATTTTCCCCATAAACACATTCATTTTTAAGGACAATTTTTAAAATGTACAAATCCAGTCATTCCTTCTAACGATTTACAAAATAATATTCCCCTTTTTACATGCTGGAGCTGCCGAGCTGCCACCCTGCTCTTGAATTTGTAGTACCGTATTTTTTGCTCTATAAGACTCACTTTTTCCCTCCTAAAAAGTAAGGGGAAATGTGTGTGCGTCTTATGGAGTGAAGGCTGTGCAGCTATCCCAGAAGCCAGAACAGCAAGAGGGATTGCTGCTTTCACTGCGTAGCGATCCCTCTTGCTGTTCTGGCTTCTGGGATTCAGGCTATTTTTTTTTCTTGTTTTCCTCCTCCAATAGGTGCGTCTTGTGGTCTGGTGCCTCTTATAGAGCGAAAAATATGGTAGTTTTTTTTTTAGAAAAACCAACAACACACCTCCAAATGTGTTATAATCAGCTACTACTTCCATGCCCTTTCTTGCTGCTAACAACAACAATGATAATAATTTTATTATTTACAGTGGTGCCTCGCAAGACGAAATTAATCCTTTCCGCGAGTCTCTTCGTCTTGCGGTTTTTTCGTCTTGCGAAGCACGGCTATTAGCTGCTATTAACGGCTTAGCGGCTTTAAGAAAAAGGAAACAAACTCGCAAGAACTCGCAAGACCTTTCGTCTTGCGAAGCAAGCCCATAGAGAAATTCGTCTTGCGGAACGACTCAAAAAATGGAAAACTCTTTCGTCTAGCGAGTTTTTCGTCTTGCGAGGCATTCGTCTTGCGGGGCACCATTGTATACCCCACCCACCTGGCTGGGTTTCCCCAGCCACTCTGCTAACTTCTGGAGCTCTGCTGTAAAGCTCGCTTAGGCCAGTTACTATCAGTCAACCTAACCTAACTTTCCTTTTGTTGCCAAGCCGATAAAGTGGGATCGCCTTGTGAATGTTGCCCTTTGTATGCCCCCCCCAAAAAAGATGGATACAAGTAGCTGCTAATAAAAGTCCTTCCTTGGACCCCTGTAAATTCCTTCCTAATTTGCAATATCTCTGCAAAATGCTTCCCACCAGATCTGTTTCCAGATCATTTCAGCCATAGGGCCAAAATCAAGAGCTTAGTTTCCAAAACTGTGTCCTAGACCTGCTGCATTTGGGTTACAACCAAGATCAGTATTAATGCCGTCTTTGCCTTGGTGCAAGATTAACTTGCTGGACCCAAGTGTCACGCTTCTCATTTCACACCTTTCATAGTAATAATAATAATAATAATAATAATAATAATAATAGTTTTTATTTATACCCCGCCCTCCCCAGCCAAGGCCGGGCTCAGTAGTCTCTGGAACCTACAACCTGTTTTACTCAACCGGGCCAGGTAAGAGATTTTGCCTATCCGCTGGTCCCTGAGACAAGAGCCAATGACAATACTTTGAATAGCACTGATAAGGCTTCTACTTCTCCATCTTGATTTACTCTTGAAGGACAGACCCACAGGTGCTGTGCTAAACATAGGAAGCTACTTTGTACTGAGACCATTGGTCCATCTTCACATGCTGGCTGGCAGCAGCTTGCCAGGGTTTCAGACAGGAATGTTCCCCAGCCCTACATGGAGATGTCTGGGATGATCCTGGGACCTTCTGCATGCAAAGCAGATTCTCTTCCACTGAGCCATGGACCTTCCCAAAGCACCATTAATCCCAACCTCCTTTTGGACCACTTTCCAGTACAGGTCCAGTTTCTGGAACCTAGTCTGTGTACTTCTTTGCAGAAACCTATTAAAAGGCATTTAAGGTATACATCCACTCTCAGGCCAGGATGCAGCTGCCTCTGTCAGTTCATTCCCTGTTGCTTGTCCCCATGACTCTGGGATACTGTATGTCTTTGTGTTGGTTTTGCTGGAAGCAGACTTTGCTCACACAGGGTTTCTGAGTGTAGGTCAAGTCCCTAAATGTATGGCGGTCAGAAATATTTGTTTGTGTTGTTTCAGAGAATATTTCAGGTGACTTTCCTTTTTCCTTTTTTATTACCAGTGTTAACTAAATTGTTTTGGTGAAGCCCATTAAGCTATTGTGTCTGTATTCTGGAGATGTTTCCCTTTGGTGCGGCTTTGTGGAACATAACATTTGATTGGGATCATGCTTTTAAAACAACAACGGGCTCCTGAAGCAGGTCTTCAGACAAAATAAAACATTCTCTTTTTGTGTGTTTTGCAAGAGAAGGTCTTACCTGTTTGTTAAAATTAAGTAAGTGTTTAGGTTGATAAGGACATACTAGTCTGAGGACATACTATTCATGAGACTGAATTTGGATTGTCTCATTGGATTCTAATGTTTCTAAAGCCATTTTTAAAATAAAAATAAATATGTGTTTCTTTGGGGCCTTACACTCCTCTCACTGGAAGCAAAAGGTGTATTCTCTGGAGGCTAGGACCTGAACCAATGGTTTCAAGTTACAAGAAAGGAGATTCTGACGAAACATTAGGAAGAACTTTCCAACAGTAAGAGCTGTTCAACAATGGAACAGACTCCCATGAGAGGTGGTAGATTCTTCTTCCTTGGAGGTTTTAAACAGAGGTTGGATGGCCCTCTCTCATGTATGCTCTTGTTGAGATTCCTGCATTGCAGAGGGCTGGACTAGAGTCTCTTCCAGCTCTATTAATTATAAGGATGGACCTTAATAGACTTTAGCCTTTTCTTATGATTTTCCCCCTACAGCAGTCTTAACAATCCTGTAGCGTGCATATCTTCTTAGAAGTAAGCCTCATTAAGTTCAACTGACTACCAGCTAACTGATTATAGGATTGCAGCCTAAGTAAAATTTGCAGAGACAATCATTTTAATGATTCCGAATTTCATTTTATCTTGTGTGGAATGGCAGGGAGAGGGTTTCTTTGCAACATTAAAAGGGGGGGAAATGGAAGCTGTCCTTTGTATTTGGATGAATTATTCTTCATGTATGTTTTGAGGATGAGAATCTCCTTTTAAGATTGCTCAAATAAGTACTTCTGAAGATCCCAGAGTCGGTGAATCTAAAACATTCCATATACCCCCTGCTTTGGAACAACCCAAATTATGATATTCCTTAATAGACTCTGTACTAATAGCTTTGACATACTGTGCCCAATGAAGATAATTTCTCCTTATCACCATTATTAATTAGAACGTGAGACGTTAGCTGCAGTGTGGTTTAGGGAACCAATTAAAGGACAATAAGGATAGCAAGTGAAGTTGTAATTTTATTTGACTACTAAAGTATTAGCAACTGTATTGACTGAATTAGCTAGAACTAGTAATTTTGTCCTTTCGAGTGGGGTAAAATAAACTTTGAGTACCCAGCTTACATTGTAGACTGCTATGCAGAAGTAGACTGCCTAGGGACAATCTCACTTCTGTGATAGTAAACAGTGACCCCATGTGAAATAGTCATGCCAGGCAAGGAATTGTACCCCGGGTTCTCCCGGTCTTCATTTGACACTCTCATGCGGAATAGTCTGGCTGCCTGGATGAGCCTGCTTCAAATATAATTGACATGAAGAGGCCTCCACACAATTGAGGGGCAGCAAGACCACACTGCTGGCATTGCCTCGGAGGTTTCATGGCTTTCTAAGTGTAGACATCTGCTTAGGAAGAGCTGCCCTATGTAGATCTCTCTGTGTGTAGGCTTCCCCTGGAAGCTGGAATCCTCAGCATTCAGGATCCCAACTCCAAAGAAAGTCTCTGCAGATTGGTTTGTGCAGATGCCACAGCTAGTTCATGGATGATGAGGACAATTGTTCATCCTATACTTTTCTGTTCTCTCCCCCATCAATTTACTAACCACAAGAAGTCTGGGTCTTTATGCTAGGGTGACAAGAGTGCTTTAATCTCCTTTAATTCTGCAAACCTAAAGTTCTGGTATGTACTTGAATCTCCCCTGCAAAATAGTGAAAGTCCGAAGGCATCCTCCGGGAGAGTTCCTATACCTTTGTTGTGTAATGATGGAAGAATTCCATCCACCATATCTTATATCATTCTGCTGCAATTCTCCACAGCTCTAGGTAAATGAACCTTCTCAGGGTCTAGACCTGCCAGCCACAATTCACATGAAATCAATGGAGTTACATGACTAACTAGAAATTACCATTGCCTCCCACCTCTGATTGCAGGAAGCTTTTCTAACTGTCTAACACTCTACATGGCCTCTTCAGAATTAATAGCAACTTCTTATTAACATAGTTTGTCCTGCACCAGACATGTCAAAAGTAAGGATTGCAAGATCTCAAGTCCAAAACATCACTTTTATTGTTCCTAATAAGCTGGAAGAGTTTTCACAGGTTGTCAATTTGCCTGCATAGATTGGGCTTATGAGTACATGACATGCTCATCTACAACATGCCTACCTACATTCATATAATGGTACAAAATCCAAAAACATCTGTTGGTCTACTTCTATCTATGATGGTTGCATTACTTCCATCCAGACCAGCGGCTGGAGAAAGTAAATTTAATTTGCTGGGAAACAGCAAAAGAAAATAGAATCCTGAAAAGGAAAACAAAAGAAATGCTCCTTAACTAAGCTCTTGTATTTGAAGCAGTCATTTTATACACATCAACAAGCACTGTAAAGACCAAAGAAGAAAACTGTCATATTTCATGCCAAAGATGTCTTGTCTCTAGCAGAGATCCCTACTGTTCTGATAGCCATTGTTAAAATTATATACTGAACCCCTACAGTGATGTCCCACTCCAGGGGGAATAAATCAAAGGTCAGCTATACAGAAAACAAGACACTGCTCTCATTAAATAAGGGTGAAAATGGCAACGGCATCACCTTTCAAATGTTCAAGCTGGCACTACTTAACATAGGACTAATCTGCTTCTCACTCTGGTTGCTTGGTCATTGGGATTTAAAAACAAAACAAAAGCAGGCCTTTAGTAAGTATGTGCATATTATGGTAAATTAAAGAATGGTAAACAAATAGAAACCAAGCAAGCTGGCTAATAATAGTGTCTATTTGGCATGGAGAGCATATTAATTTATATTAACATTCTAAACTAGGATTTTAGCTCACCAGATCATTATAGAAGAAGGGTGATTTGCAACATACGTCACTGCACATTCCTGCTCATTTGGACCAGGAATTTAAGCAGGCACAATGCAGATAAGCTGGTACAGTCAACAGGGGAAGGCAGACTTCAAGATTGCAGAATCTGTTTTGTTGAACAACTGGGAATCACAAAACCTTGCTGATCTATTTCAGACCATCCATAGATCTGCTAGGGCAGTGTTCTTCAACCTTGGTTTTCTGTATCTTGTTGGATTACAGTAATAAAATGTATGCCAACTTGAGCGCATTGAAGCAAAGTTGGGATATAAATAAATAGAAAGAGATAACTTTGGAATAGGAGACCTGAGGACAAAAAGTTCTGGCCATGATTTTTTCTTTTCTTTTTGGGATAAGGAAAAGCAACTTACAGCCATCAGTAAAAGTCCTCAATCAACCAGGCTCTTCTGTCAGTAAATACAGGCTGCGTACAATCACCTAAGTAGTCATTAAAGGACTCTTCTCTATTTGCGAAGACCACTCTACAGTAGATACCCGAACAATTACAATTAACAGACGAAAGTGCTACAATGCTGAATGGTGTTTGATTAATAGCGGCCTTGTGGGAACTTTTCTTTCTTTTTTCTTCTAAAATCAAAATTATCAATTGTTTTCTATTACTGTGGAGAAAGCTTTACCAAAGACAAGCTGAGAGGTGGGGAAATGAATGTGTGCACAATGCACAATTTAACGAATTGTGGTATGCATGTTAAAGATGCATCACAAACACAAATTCAGCCCCACCATAGATTACCATACCTCACCACACGCTCCTTTTACATTACGTGGAAATGATTCCAGTTATTTGTACAGTCTCATCTATGGGCACAATTTTTCAGAATGTGCCTTTACTGCTTAATGCTAAAAATGTAGCATGTTTTCCCAGCTATGTTTGGATATTAAAAAAAGAACTGTATTTTGGACTGTATTTTTATTGAAAGTGATCATTTCTGTGTGCAAAGATCATTCTGTGTGCAACTTAATGGTTAATTCTGTTAGTATTGAAGTCAACTGGCCAAGAGGGGTAGAGGTAGAGGTATAGCTTAGCAACTAGGCAGGGGGAGGGGCATGATGTTTACTGAGGTAGCATGTTTCCTGATTGGCTGTATAGTTATGAGGGAGTTTTTTCTGTGTATATTTTATTGAATGTGTCCCTGCTTTGTTGAAGGCCTGAACTAAGAAAGGAAAAGCCTTTCTGCTGCTTTCCCCTCAAATTATACACGGTTTAGTTCTGGGGGGTTTTCCTCAGTAAATTGCTAGCAGGATTTTTTTCTCTCTCTGTATGCTGTCTGCATTGTTTAAGTAACTTTAAGTCTTATGACCTTACTCTCATCCATATTTTCCTGGAAGCTGTGGTGTTCACACATTTGTCTTGATCCCTTCCAAACCACCAAATATACAAATACTTTTAAATCACGGGAATACTGTACCTATCAATGGAGGCATGCTTATTCAGAAACAAACATTTCCTGCCACATGTGGTCTAGAACACAGTTGGTGTCCAAAATATGTTCTTCTCTGCACCACTGTAGTTATAACTACCTCTGATTGTTTGCTCACCTGCTTCAAACAGGAGCTAAAATTGCTGGCCTCTTGTCACTGTTACAATATGCAGCTTCATTTGGACAAAGCAGCTGCAAACTGTTTTTGCTGTGAGAGCTGATTGCAACAAACGGATACAAAATCACACCTGCCTTTCCGCAAGCTGTATTAGAAACTGCGGTCTGAATGTGACAGAGATGGAGTTCAAATCCCATTGCTTTTGATGGGAGAAATCTAGAAGCAATTCAGGAGGCAGATAGTGGCATTATACATTCTATAATGTTTGCAAGCTGGAGACAAAATTGAATAAGTAGGGATATCCATGCCATGTCTCCATGGCAGTTCATTTTCTTGGGCTACTCTGTGTGTGTGTGTGTGTGTGTGTGTGTGTGTGTAGAGCCTATTTGGAGACCCAGCCCAGAACAAGACAGTGGGGAAAAGAAGCTCTGACCATCCAAATAGTTTTCTTCACTTTACCTTGGACTGATATCTTGCTGTGCAAACAGATTCCAACGTGGAGGTACCGTATATTAAGGATTATCTTGAGACATGATGATGCAAGCATGTCCCAAGACACTATCTTATGACTCAAGGAAGGAGACAGCTAACCATGGACCTTAGATAGTGTGATTAGACATTGTATGTCGAGGCAGTCCCTGCTCACCAGTCCTACATTATGTATAAAAGTCTTTCTTTCCTTCTTTCCATTTATATATCACTTTTCCTCTAAGCAGCTCAAGGTAGCATACAAATTTCTCTCCCTCATTTTATCCTCAAAAAACCCCCTGTGAGGTAGGTTAGACCTAGAGAATGTGACTGGCCCAAGGCCACTTCACGCCTGAGTGTGGATTTGAACTCTGGTCTCTCAGGTCCTAGTTGAACACTCTAACCACTACAGCACAGAAGTCTTTCATATTTCTCGTGTGAAACAACTCAATCTGCCCTTTATAGTCATGAGTTAAAAGTACTTTAAAAAAACCCCAACCCTTTAAGTTGGAACTTGATGGTGAACCTTGTAATATCATTTTCTCACCTAGGGCTGCCCAGTTCAGGAGAATTCAGTACTTTCAATGATTCAGAGAAGGTAGCATTTGGGAAGGGTTGAGTTACCCTGCCATAGTGCAAGAAGCAGTCTCGGCCAACAGTTAAAGGCCCAGGAACTAACTAACTAACTAACTAACTAACTAACTCTCTTTTTCTCTTGTATTGAACCTGCAGCAACCCTACAGCTGCTTGACTCAACAACTGAGAGGCCTTCTAATGAAATCTTCCAGTAAATGGGTGTAACAAGACCCTTTAAAAACACCAGCGCTGCAGTGTTAATTACAACAAAAAGCATTTTAAATATTTTCCTCTATCCAAAGTGTCTTTCCTTGCTTTCAGAGAGAACCACAATTGACTGTTGATATACTATTGCCATTACATTATCTTTTTCTTTTTCCAGCATCTCCCAGAGCAGAAGCCCAAACAAGATGAATGGCTGTATAATGCCGCTAAAAAGCTTCTGTGGGTTTCAGCCATCAGTGTTTCCACCTCCCAGCTGTTAGCATCCTGAAATCTGATGCTTACAATTGTTGCCTAACTTGCACTTAACTATACTTATGCTTAAATGGATCTCTCATTCCGACACGGGGTGTTCATCATCTGCTTCAAATTGCCACTCTGTACTTGTCTTCCTGCTTTCCTCTGATGAATAGTGTTAGGTTTGAATGCCGACTTGGGGAGAAATTTTGGGGCTAGCGCTGGGGTTGTGTTTTATGTTGTAAGCAGCCTTGTCAGAGCTGTCTAAAGAATGTGAAGCTTTCTTCATGTGCCAGTCAAAAGGTCCTGTTCCTGGCATACACCTTTTACGACGCCTGGAGAAGGCAAGAGCAGGAAGAGGCAGATGTTAGCATGGGATACTGGCCTGCAGATGTGATTGGGGTCAGGGGTTGGCATTGGCCCACACCTCAGCAGGGGGCTGATAGCACTGCGCTAGACATTGTCTCACTTCGTAGCCTAGTGTGAAATTTATTTATTGCATTAATATCCCACCTTCTTTTCCAAGGAAGCACATGTGGTTCTCATCATTTAACCCCACAACAACCCTGTGAGGTAGGTTAGGCTGACAGGCAGTGATTGGTCCAAGGTCACTCAGTGAGCTTCATGAGCGAGTGAGGATTTGAACCCTGGTCTCCCAGGTCCTAGATAACCTGTCAGGGACTGTGCTGAGGAGGGCTGCACAGATGAGGAATGGTGGGAGCCTTCCCCTCCTCCTCCCCCTGATCAGGATCCTGAATCTTCCCAGGAAAAGTGGGACAGTATAGATTTGGAACAGTGGTTTGCAGAGGGACATAGTTCAGAAGACAAAAGTTGGGAAGAACTGGGTGGTGAACAGCTAGGAGAAGAAGAACCGGGAGAGAGAGAGTTAACAGATTCCAGTTCGCTGGATAGTGTCCATCCAACCAGTCCAAGGTCACAGAGATTAGATAAGTAGCTGCACAGAAGGCACAGTGGTTGCGAGATCAGGATACAAGATGAGGAAGTGGCAAGGGTGACTCAGGAGAAAGTAAGTGTAAACCTTAATTGGAAGTACCTTTACTCCGAGAATTGACTCTTTGTTCTTTCACTGTGATCATTAAAATCTCTTTAAATGGTAATAGACTATTTTTGCTTTGTTCTGCTTATCCATGGCCAAAGGGAGGGAGGAAGCCGCTCCCCCAAAGCCTGATATCACCACCACACCACACTGACTCTCACTGGAGTTTTCAAAGCATTCACCTCAGCTGCTAACACAGAAGATACGCAGGTCTGATGATTTCTTCATCATAAGAGCTTTGCTGGATCACACCAAAGTCCCATCTAGTCCAGCATCCTGTTCTCACAGTGGCCAACTCCATGCCTAGAAGCATGCAAACATGACATGAGCCCCACAGCCGCCTTCTGCTTCATGTTCCCAAACAACCAGTATCTGGAGGCCTAGCACCTCTGCTAGAAGTAGCTAAAAGCCATCATGGATAGAAGCCATCAAAAGCTTAATCCTCCAAGAATTTTACCAACTCCCGTCCAAGTAGCTGGCTGCCACATCTTGTGGTAGCAAACCCCATAGTTTAACTATGTGCTGTGTGAAGAAGTGCTTCTTTTTCATCTGTTCTGAATCTCCCGGAATTCAGCTTCATTGGATTGTCCCAGGTTCTGCTATTTCAGGGAGAACGTCTCTCTATCCACTTTCTCCACAACATAGAATTTTATAGACTTCTATCATCATTCTTCCCCTCCCACTTGCAATTGCCCTTTTCCTACACTAAAAAGCACCAAATGTTGTAACTTTTCCTTATAGGTAATATTCTTTCCTCCTGAGTATCTTCATAGTTCTTAGGATCTAAGTTTTTCAAGGTTGTGCCATATTTTTTTGTGTATCTTTCTAGCCTTTGTTGAAGCTAAAACGGATTTCCTAAGTATTTGTCTCAGTTTTCTGTCTCCTAATACAGAAGTCTTCATTCCCCTGTCACAACAACTAAGTTCTTTTCCCCCTGTGTTATGTTTTGCAAAGAGAAGTGAGCACATAAGATATCAACTATAACAGGCACCCCCAACCTTCGGCCCTCCAGATGTTTTGGACTACAATTCCCATCATCCCTGACCACTGGTCCTGTTAGCTAGGGATCATGGGAGTTGTAGGCCAAAACATCTGGAGGGCTGCAGGTTGGGGATGCCTGAACTATAACTATCGCCTAGGGAAGGGGTTGGGTACTAGCGACCCACGATATATTTTTAGACTTCTAGCTCCCATCAGTTGATGCTAGCATGGTCAGTGTTCAGGGATGATGTGAGTTATCCTCCAGCAACATACATATGGCCAGATTCTCCACCTCTGCCCTAGGGTTTATAGAGGTGCTTCCTTCCAGCGTGAGATCTGTCCTGTGTTTTAAACCCCTTTCAATAATAAATACTTATATGGGCATCAACCAATGATACATTCAGGATGTTACTTCAAAAGCTCATTGCCTAGCTACTTCCCATTATAATTACATTTTGTTAAAGTCATTCGCAGTTCAAACCCAAAGGCCTTGACTTTTTCATTATATTTACATGTTTCCTTCATACCTTCTTGCTTATTCCTGCTCCTGTCTTCCTTAGCTTTGTTCTGCTGTATTGTTTTCCCCCCCTCAGGGTATTGTATTATGTGTAAAACCAGTTCTTTTTATTTTAGGAGAGATACTGTGCAAAAACTTCAGCTGTAACTGCACAGTTGCCGACAATCTACTTTAATCTGCTTTAGTCTGATTCTAAGTTAGCTATAGCAGCACCTCCATTTGTTGCTAAAAGCAAGCTTCTGCATTTCTGTGTAATTTGTTAATGTGTTTATTATATCCTTTGCTGCCTCCCAATAGGAACATCCAGGAAATGAGATACTTGTAGAAGAGTTTGTTTATTCCGTGTTAAATGACAGCTGAAGGCTCACTATTCTATTTACATTTACAGTTCTAGAATTTTTTAAAACAGCATTCCACATCTAGCTAAACTTTGGAAAACAGAACCATTAAAAGCCAAGGTAACGATTACAACAAAATCTTACTCTTTAACATCTTGCATTCTCTTTTGCAGAATTGCTATTGCTTTTCACAATCTACAATAGAAATGTTAATGCTGAACGAACTATTAGATGAGAATTAAGCTATTGCCTTAAATAGCGTAATTTCATTTTGGATACTCTCTTTAAAAGATTTGCAATCCTAATGAAAGGTAGGGTGCCTTCTAATAGGCTGGTGATTTTAATAATGCCCTAATTTAAATTCAACACATTTTAAATGGGGGGATAGATAAACTAAAGTAAATAATTGACACCCTCTCAATGAAAAACTGATGGCAAATGAGAGATCTGACTTTTCCTTTTTCGCTGAATTTCAGCATTTGGCATCCGCATCGTTGTTTTTTCCTGCATATATCCCCAAACGCTATGAAATGTACAGCTAGCTATATGGAATAAATGGTTTCAGAGAGAATTCTGTGCATTTTGTTTCATAATACTTGCTGTTTGCCACCTTTTCACCACTGACAGATAATCTTTAACAATGTATGAGATAAATGCAACAGGTGGCAAGTTATGGGCAGGGCTTTACTTCTTGAAATTCTGTTGTTACAAAAGCAGCATCTCTACATCATTTGTGCTGCAACAAATATTGAAGGCTCCTGCATAATCTCTAGCAGTCTCCCCCCCCCCACTGTGAGTCATTCAACGCTAATTTAAGATGTTATGTATGTCACATATGTACATACAGCATTGATTTCCTGCACTGAAACCATCTGGCAATAAGTGCAGGCATGTCATTCCTGTCATAGAAGCAGAATGCCATTGAAAAGGAGGTGGAATTCTGTACTGCAACTAAGCATGTCAGGAGGACGAACTTCAGTATTACCCTCATTTGACAGAGGCTGCCTACAAAATGAACTCTGGATTTTAAATCTGGGTTCTAGGCCTAACATCAGAAAGTGAGGAGGAATTAAAGAACCTTTTATTGAGGGTGAAAGAGGAGAGCGCAAAATATGGTCTGAAGCTCAACATCAAAAAAACGAAGATCATGGCCACTGGTCCCATCACCTCCTGGCAAATAGAAGGGGAAGAAATGGAGGCAGTGAGAGATTTTACTTTCTTGGGCTCCATGATCACTGCAGATGGTGACAGCAGCCACGAAATTAAAAGACGCCTGCTTCTTGGGAGAAAATCAATGACAAACCTAGACAGCATCTTAAAAAGTAGAGACATCACTTTGCCAACAAAGGTCCGTGTAGTTAAAGCCATGGTTTTCCCAGTAGTGATGTATGGAAGTGAGAGCTGGACTATAAAGAAGGCTGGTCGCCAAAGAATTGATGCTTTTGAATTATGGTGCTGGAGGAGACTCTTGAGAGTCCCACGGACTGCAAGAAGATCAAACCTATCCGTTCTTAAGGAAATCAGCCCTGAGTGCTCACTGGAAGGACAGATCCTGAAGCTGAGGCTCCAGTGCTTTGGCCACCTCATGAGAAGAGAAGACTCCCTGGAAAAGACCCTGATGTTGGGAAAGATGGAGGGCACAAGGAGAAGCGGACGACAGAGGACGATATGGTTGGATAGTGTCTTCGAAGCTACCAGCATGAGTTTGACCAAACTGCAGGAGACAGTGGAAGACATGAGTGCCTGGCGTTCTCTGGTCCATGGGGTCACGAAGAGTCGGACACGACTAAACGACTAAACAACAACAACAACAACAACAAAATCCTAACATTCTGTGAAGGAAAACAAGGTGGCTCCGTGCACTTTAAGAGGGTTCAGAAGAGCAGCAGTTTTGTCACAGGAGGCAGGAAATGTTTCCCTCGGGGTTTACCAAGGCAGTTTTCCTGCCCGCAATGCATCTCTTCTTGTACCTATGGTAGGTTGTCCTTTCGAAAGATCCCTCGTCAAAGTTCACCGCACACAACCATAGGGTTTCTCCATAAGCTGCTTTGCTTTAGGCTTTCTTGAACAACGGATGTGTAAGCACTTTCAAAGTGACCTTAAAGAATAAACAGCACTCTGTCGGCGTTAAAGCACTTCAACACAATTAAGTTCTGTCGCTGGCCCAGGATGATCTTAATAGGCTAGCTGAACAAACGAAGATGAGGTACAATTCAATTGCCACGGGAGGTGCTCATTCTAAGAGACTCCCAAGAAAAACTATATGCCAGGGGAGCAGGTCAAAGAAGCAGAGGAAGTCTGGGATAGCAGCAGCAGCCATGGGGAGAGCATTTCATCTTTGAATGAGCAACTACAGGAAAATCTGTGCCAATCCACCTACAGAATCTACCACAATGGTATTTCAGTAGGGCCCCCACCGGATAAATATGCAGTATATTTTCTTCTGCTTTGCTACACCTGCTGCTCTCCTTGCTGACTACCCCACCCATTATATTTTAGCGGGCAGTACCATTTTTGACGCGGGTGGCGCTGTGGGTTAAACCACAGAGCCTAGGGCTTGCCGATCAGAAGGGCAGCGGTTCAAATCCCCGCGACAGGGTGAGCTCCTGTTGCTCGGTCCCTGCTCCTGCCAACCTAGCAGTTCGAAAGCACGTCAAAGTGCAAGTAGATAAATAGGTACCACTTCGGAGGGAAGGTAAACGGTGTTTCCGTGTGCTGCTCTGGTTCGCCAGAAGCGGCTTAGTCATGCTGGCCACATGACCCGGAAGCTGTACGCCGGCTCCCTCAGCCAGTAAAGCAAGATGAGCGCTGCAACCCCAGAGTCATCCGCTACTGGACCTAACGGTCAGGGGTCCTTTTACCTTTTACCATTTTTGAATGGGCTTCCATCTGTGATGGCCAACCATCACCTTAATTTGCACCAAATGCAATGCTCCACCATGGATCTATATTCCTAACCAGCGTGTAGATTTTGTAGATCTATAGGCTAGGGCATTGCATTTTGGGTTAAATGCATGGGTGGACACTGCAGGTGGGAGCAGAGATTTCCCTCCCCCCAAAAAAAACCAACCACCCAGGGACTTGGCAGGGAGGGCAGGGTAAGAGGTGCTTCTGAGTTCATGGGGCTCTTGGCCTAGCTAATGTTTGGAGGCAGAGTTGTCTTTAAGAATTATGCCAAGAGCCCAGCCCTATGTATGTCTATTCAGAACTAAATCATCCTAAATTCAATGGGACTTACTCCCAAATAGGCATGTGTCCAATCCATTTGCACAGGTCACCAATAAATGAGAAGAGAGTGGCCAACTCTGCCATGCTTGTTAGCCAAACTCCATTGATTTAAAAAGATGGGTAAAGTGCTGTCCAAATTTCCACCAAATTTAAGTGCAAGTGGCCTATGCAGACTTAATGCACCAAACCAACCCAAATGTGTGTGCCTAATTCTGCATAGGGGATCAGGCTGATTGCATAAGCCAAGCTAAATTGACCACCTGTTCAGTTCCAAAGGAGCAACATTTTTTTCTTAGGACAGGTTCCTATATGGAGAAATATTAAGGTGAAGGGAAAACCATGGCAAGGTGACCTACAGATCTGCAACAAACAATAAAGCATGTTAGTTAAATGCATCCCTTCTACTTTGGCAAGAAGCTCATTCAGAGCAATCCTTAAGAACAAACAGAGGCTCGTCATTGCTAGAAACAAGTTTATTGAATATATTAATCTTTCATAACTGATTACAAAGTGTATTAAAATCTATTCATCTTAAATGCATTGAAATATAAATGTTTATGGAAACACAGCCTAAGAATTGGGATTGGGGGGAAAGTGCTGAAGGACAAACAACATGTACAAACTTCGACTAAAAATGTATGTTTTGTTGACAGATTGTAGCACATTGTGAGAGACAACTAAATCCAGATAATTCCTGAAGATTGTATTTAAGCAATCTGGGGTGGGGTGGGGTGGCAGGAAACAAGACAACAAAAGATACGGCCGGGTATTGTTCAGATATGTTAACCCTTCCACATGAGAGCTTCTAGTGTTAGATATATAAAACTAATCACAGAGGCAGTTAGAAGGAGGGAACAAAAGAAAGCATGTCCAAATGTATAATCTAGATGGATTTGCAATCGCAAGATACCACTTGATCATGACCCTCCTAAAGTATCTCCCAGAGAAGAGCAGCATTGTACACACAGTTTGAGAAGATTAACGTCAGATGGTGTATTGGAGATGAATTGCTCAGCATCCTGGGATAATCTTCATTCCTGGACCATTTTCTGCCCACTGAAAGAAGTCACACTGCTTATCCTTCCCAAGAGGGCACACAAAGAAATTCTTTCCATTATTAGGACCAATCTTCAACACTGTCCTCATAATGCTGCGCTTCCTGTGATTGCAGAAGGGAAAATGCAGGTCTGCCCACTGTAGAGAGAAATCATTTCTCCTTTTAACATCAGATCCCTCTTTTAGACCGGTGGCAAGAAACTCGACTTTAATTCTGCCAGGTAGGTGGCAACTGCTAATAATCAGGGTAAATGGCTCTGTTTCAAATACGCTATATGTTTCACTGCCTGAGCTCCACTGGTTTGACTTTGTGAGAGTACAGTTTTCGGGAGTCTTATCTGACTCTGGAGGCAACATGGGTTCAATTTATCCAAGTAAAGTTCTGGTACCTCATAGCTGAATAGCAATAGATCTCACTTCCCCACACTTCCAACTTCCTTCTCTCCCTTTTCAGAATCTGAAGGTCAAAATGACATTACTGCACCTCTTACTGCATAGCAGAGGCCAGTGCAATTGCTGTGTTAACAGAACAAAACCCACGTGAAAATAATCTATTGTATGTTGCGTTCAGCCTATCCTTTGGAAGTTAGTTGAGAGGGCCTTTTACTCCCCTTTCAGAACTTCCCTCCATGTGTATATTAAACATGTGGAGAGGGGAGGAGTGTATACACTGACCCCACTCCCAACATATCTGTCCTCTGCTGGTCCCAGTCCCATGAGGTAGGTCTGAAAAGGATGCCAAGGTCCATACAAAGAGACTCTTAGATTTTTTTTGACTTTTTTTGCAGCAACTACCGCTAATTTGCACAGAGAGCCCTTTTCAGACCTTTTAACAAGCTGCAATGCCGTCTGGGAGAAGAAAGTGCTGCTCCTTCCTCCATACATTTACTCTGCATATGGAAGGAAGAAACCTGTCTCCATCTAAGCAGGCAGGAGGTACCACCACACATTCCACAATGTGGCGAAAACATCCCAGGAGGATGTGAAGCAGGTCTGTGGCCTGGAGAGAGCGCTGAAGACCTGACCAAGAGGCCCAAGGTGAACCTCATCACTGAGGTTCCCCATCACTGCCATAGATGGCTATTGGTTGAAGAGGCAGGGAAGTAGGGGGAGAACCCTCTCCCAAACTCCCCATTCTTCAGCTTTTCAAGGACAGCAATGGCTACTTGATTGAAGAATAATCTCTACTCCCATGTCTGCATCAATTCCACTCTTCAAATAAATCCCCTCTTGTGCTCTCCCTGCAAGCAGTCATCCTAGCCAGGCAGTTAAATCCCGATCATGACTGACAGGAGCATCCCCCCTGCTTCTGCTTTCAGAACTGGGGAAGGGATATCAATAAGCCATAGCTTTCTATGTGCCTATTAACTCTTAATAGTGTCAATAAATGAAAACCTTTTAGTGTAAAATCTGAATTCAAAGTCCACGACTCTACTCCACCCAGAAAACCATTCTGCAGTGGCCAGGATTTGTCTAGAAGTTATTTAGGCAAAGCTAACTTCATCAGTGACATTGTAATTCTCCTTCCAGTACACTAATACCGAAAGTACGAATGAAACCCATGAGTAATCATAATGGGTTGGAGGAAAAAAGTTGTACCCTTCAAGGGTGCTCGGCAAGGCTACGCAATCTCACGTACTTCAAAATAGTCACACCGGGCTTCTCTGGGTAAAGGACAAGCATAAAATTGCCTGCCCTTGTTTTCTCCGTCCTTCCTCACCACGCGAAGAATGCAGCAGCGACTGTGTTTACTGCAGCGAGGGTTGCCAGTATTTAATGTGTAAGAACCATCTGTCATATTAACTGGAGGTGCTCTGCAATGACAGGTTGCAAAATAATAATAAAAACTGCATGAAGTTAAAAGGGATTAGTTACAGCAGCAGCAACACTCTTCCTCCCTTCCACCAAACACTCTTGCCTTTTGTACACAGCTGTCAATAATTGTTATATACGTGTAGGGTTCAAAATAGAGAAACCAGATATTTTACCTGCCCTACTTGATTTTTCTTTAAATAAAACTGAAGGAATCTGTGCTGAGCATCCAGGCAATTGAACTGAAGGGCAAGTGGCAAATTTAAAGTCCCAAAATTGCATGGCCTCTTATTTTATCTCATTTTTAAAAAATATAAAACAGCACTATTCCGGTGTCGCTGGCATAAATTTTGTCCTTTCATGTTGTTTAAAAGGCATTCTGAATTGGCAGCGGCAAGATATACTCGAGGTCCAATTCCCTCCAATTATAGTCTCCCCCTCTGGAAAGCTATTACAAGTGTCTTAGACCAGGCCATGGGGATCTCTACCTACTTGTCCGCTTCGGAGACAATTTTCCATGCTCTTTGATCAAAGCTACTTTAATGATCCCAATCATGTTCCACAGAGGAGGAAGTCTGACTGGCGGAGCAGAAAAGTATATTTTATGAAGGTGGCAGGGAAGCTTTACTCTCCCCTAACATTAGCGTCACCAGAAGAGTTGGAGAGCATCTTCGCTTACAAGGCACAAGGGCATCTTCCTTGATGGTTAATGTTTAAACAAGGTTAGTTCGCTCCCTGTTACTTTGATTTAGAAGCAGCCAACCTTTCTTTTGCTATAATTCTACAAGTCAAGGCCAAATTCCACCCGGCGGTGCTATTCTCGCGCTCCTGTATACATCGTAAAGTGCTACCTGGGAACTCTGACATCCTCCTCCAACTCCCTCTCAGTCTTCGCCACCTCCCCAAAGGTCCAACTTTGGGTAACGGGGGTTTAATTGGCTCCTTACTCAAATGGGTTATATACACCCCATACCTTTACAGTGGAACCTTGGTTCTCGAACATAATCCATTCTGGGAGTCCATTTGACTCCTGAAACTGTTCGAAAACCAAGGCACAGCTTCCGATTGGCTGCAGGAGCTTCCTGCACTCAAGCGGAAGCCGCGTCGGACCTTTGGCTTCTGGAAAACGTTCGAAAACCAGAACACTTACTTCTGGGTCTTTGGGATTCAGGAACCAAAATGTACAAGTACCAAGGTGTTCGAGAACCAAGGTACGACTATATACCCAGTCTTTTTCTCCAAGGGGCTCAAAGTGGCATACCTGGTTCTCTCCATCCTCAAGTTTATGTTGTGAACTGCCCTGAGATCTATGGGTATAGGGCGGTATACAATTTTAATTAATAACAATAATTCACCCCTACAACAACCCTGTGAGGTACGCTAGACTGGCCAAAGGGCACCCAGTGGGCTTCATGGCCTAGTAAGGGTTTGAACCCTGGTCTCCCAGGTCCATGGCTAACACTTTCAACCACGGTGCTACACCTGCTACACCACAATGCAGTTTTGTTTCTGAGCTACCAAGTAGGGAAGCAGGCAGCAAGGAATACATTGCTCTGCTGTGCAATAGAGAAGCCCACTAGCCCCCTTGCACCTACCATCAAATTCTGTAAAGTTCCAGGGCTTCTGCCCCACTTCATTTCTAAGATACAGCAACTAATCTCTTGCCACTGCAGTTAGCCGCTTGGTAAATTGCCCTTTCTTCTGATCTAACAAGTAGCCTGAGTCACAAGCGATTCTGTGACAAATAAGGGACACACAGCAGCAACAAACTCTGTTTCATGAGTTACAAAAGCAAAACACGCAATAAACCCCAAACCAATGTTTCCCTCTAAACATTGCCTTGCACCCATCAATTTCTACCTTTCAAGTCCACATTCAATGAAATATACTTTAGAGGAATCCTGTTTAGATCTGGAATTAACAAACCTGATTGCTAAATTCTCATTGATTGCCCCAACAGATGAAGATGAGGAATCAATCTTCTGTTTCTTCTGTGCCGGCTTTAAAGAATTATATTGATGGGAGAATGATACGGGTGTATTTACAGCATGGTGGTTGGTGCTGTTATAATCATTTCGTGAAGAATCACACAGAGAGTTTCCATCTGGAGTTAGACTTCTGCTTCCATTATGCTTTGGCAGAGGCAGTTTGCTAGCAAAATCTGACAGCACCAATGTTGTTGTCCCAAACACAGTTTTCCTGTTGATCTTAATTTCTCCCCTTGGTTTTCCAAAGTTATTACATGGGTACTTGATTAAGCTGCTGTTAAAGGCTGCCAAAGCTTCATTCTTCTGTATTTCTGGAACTTAAAATAGATAGCAAGAAAAGGAAGACATCCCAGTTAGTATCCTCTTTGAACCACTTATTCCTCCCCCACTGAAATCCCCCCCCCCCCGTGCTCTTGAACTACATCTATACTGCTCTACACACTACTAATCATAGAATCATAGCATGGTAGATTTGGAAGGTACTCCAACGGTCATCTAGTCTAATGCCCTGCAATGCAGGAATCTCAACTAGATCATACACGGCACATGGTCATCCAACCCCTGCTTAAAAACCTTCAATGAAGGAGAGTTCCCAAGCTCCCAAGGGAGCCTGTTCCACTGTCAAACAGTTCTTACTGCCAGAAAGTTCTTTAGTCGGAATTTCCTTTCTTGCAACTTGAATCCATTGGTTCAAGTCCTACCCTCTAGAGCAGGAGAAAACAAGCATGCTCCCTGCTCCATGTGACAGCCCTTAAGATATTTGAAGATGGCTATCATATCTGCCTCCTCTTTTCCAGGCTAAACATACCCAATTCTCTCAACAGACCCTCTTAAGGCTTGGTTTCCAGACCCTTGATCATGTTGGTTGCCCTCTGCACATGTTCTAGCTTGTCAATAAATTGCAGTGCCCAGAACTGGACACAGTATTCCAGGTGCGGTCTGACCAAGGCAGAATAGAGGGGGACTATTACTTCCCTTGATCGGGACACTATACTTCTATTGATGTAGCCTAGAACAGTACAGTGGTGCCCCGCAAGACGAATGCCTCGCAAGACGGAAAAACCGCTAGACGAAAGGGTTTTCCGTTTTGAAGTTGCTTCGCAGGACGAATTCCCCTATGGGCTTGCTTCGCAAGACGAAAATACCTTGCGAGTCTTGAGATTTTTTTTTTCGCTTTTCCCCCCCCTTTATCTAATCTGCTAAGCCTTTAATAGCCTTTAATAGCCTTTTAGCAGCTAATCCCCTAAGCCTTTAAGCCTTTAATAGCCGCTAAACCGCTAATAGCGCTAATAGCGCTAATCCGTCAATGGGCTTGCTTCGCAAGACGAAAAAACCGCTAGACGAAGACTCTCGTGGAACGGATTAATTTCGTCTTGCGAGGCACCACTGTATTCACTTTTTCTGCTGCTGCATCACACTGTTGACTCATGTGAAGGTTGTGGTCCACCAAGACCCCTAGATCCTTTTAATAGTTGTGAACATAGGAAGCTGCCTTACACCAAGTCAGACCACTGGTCCAGTCAGCTCAGCATTTCTACCCTGAATAGAAGCAACTTTCCAGGGTTTCAGACAGGGAAACATTCCCAGCAATCCCTGGAGATGCCAGAGATTGAATGTTGGACCTTCTGCATGCAAAGCACTGAGCTACAGTTCTTCCTTAAGAAATAGTTATCCATAATGTCTACTAGCCTTGGATGCTGATGCACATCCCCATTTACATCAATGGGACTCAACAAAGTTCAGGTTAGCATTGTAGAAAGACAGCAATAGTCTTATGAATGCACACTAGCAACATATGCAAGGATGGGGAATGTAGAAAGGGCCTTTTCAGAGGAAGTAAAATTTCATACATTCAATTAATTAAGGGAATTTTACATACATTAATTAAGTGGAGGGGGGAAAACTGCAAGCACATTTGCAAAGCTAAGCAGGATCCGGTATGGTTTCAAATTGGGTGGGAGACCATCTGTGCACTGATATTCCTGCATTGCAGGGGCTTGGACTAAATGACTTTTGGGGTCCCTTCTGACTCTACAGTTCTGATTCTAGGACAAAAGTATTAATTATAAGCATTGAGGAAATCATTTTACTTACATCATCTTTTTTATTAAAAAAAACTCTCTAGATTTTATTTTAATGTAGATTTTTGAGATAAAGTTGCTTTATTTAAACATATGTTAAAGAAGTCTTTAGATGCCAGCACTGGACTTTGATAACAGCTCAAAAGCTTCACAACTGGAATGAAAGATGCCGAGAGAGAGAAAAAGAGCATTATCGTGATTTTCTTCTAAAGCCCTAAGCCACGCTGCCTTTGTTGTATTGGGTCTGCTTCAGCTTCTAGGGAACCAGCTGGGTGCATAAATTCCAGGAGAGAAGTTAATTGGCAAATCTGACTTTCTGAACAGACTAAATCTTTAGGTTCCTGGGGCTGACATTTTAGCGGAAGACAATCAGCCAAGAGCAACTTTGGCAGACAACAGAAATCCTTCCCGACTGCAGATACAGTTGCTCGCTAACCTCCCTTGCCCAGCACTCTGCTGGCTCCAGAAGGCCTACAGCAGGTCGGGACATCTTTTCTCAACCTTCCCTTACAGTCAGTTGCGGTCCAAAGTGTGAAAGGCTTCCAGGAGCTTCGAATGGAAGATCCTACCAGATGATTATAGCATCACTGCTCCACTGACAGCCAAGCCCACTCCAGTTATATTTCACTAGTCTATGTCATCCTTATGGGTAAAAGCACCTTCTCAGGGACTGCAATTGGCAGATCAAGTGCAAAACAAATAGACCTGGAAGAGGAAGAGTGACAGGAATGGACAGCAGTCCAAGGGCCATGCAACCTTCTGGGGCCACATGCCCACTGCTGGGCAAGGAAGAGGCAAAAGTGGGTGTTTCCCCACCCCTGATTTGCAGTTGGTTAGGATAGCCAGCAATTGATCCAGGTGAGACAGGACATGCAGGAAACATTATATTAACCCAAACTTGGGGAGCCTCTTAAAAGAAACTGGCTTGTCCATTAGAGGGGGGAGGCTGATAAAGTAGAGCAGCACAGCAGAAAGCACAAAGGCAGGAGGAAGCAGAGGAAAGAGACAGCAAGGAGGAGAGAATCATGGAAGAGAAGGGAGGAAATACAATCAGGGCAGGGCAGGGCAGAGAAGTAGAGTGCCTCAGAGATTAGAAGCTGAACACTGCAGCTGAGAACAGCTCTTCTTTGTGGGAGAAATGAAAGACATCATTGCTGAGTGATTGGAGTTTGCTCCAACTGTAAAGGTAAAGGGATCCCTGACTGTTAGGTCCAGTCGCAGACGACTCTGGGGTTGTGGCGCTCATCTCGCTTTATTGGCCGAGGGAGCCGGTGTACAGCTTCCGGGTCATGTGGCCAGCATGACTAAGCCGCTTCTGGCGAACCAGAGCAGCGCACGGAAACGCCGTGCTCCAACTGTAAAAGGTGTAAAAATATATATACCCATGTGAAGTTTCAACACTTAGTTTTAAAACCACAATTTTTATTACAGGTTTTAAACACTTTTCATGCACACACACACACAAACACTTCTATTGTTTTTGAAATACTAACAGGGTGGAGGACAGCTTTTGTCCCTTCCAGCTATAAAAGATTTTTTTTCTCCTTACAAATGCATTCCCTTTCAATTTATGGAACATTTGGTCTGACAATTCGGGGAAGTTGCTGAAATCTGCAAAAAGTACCAAAGGTTTAACTGAATAATTCATGCAGCATGGGATGGGATAACAGCTGTGAAAGTATATATTTGAGTTACAAAAGGAACATGCTATTATTGCACAAACAGTTGTTCCTTGAGACAAGTTTCTGGGTTTATAATGCAGATTCTAAGAACACGGGCATCTGCTCAGGGCTGTTTCATATAACCTTTCTCTATCTTAATTTTCTTGAGAGGATTTCCTCTGAATTTCTTTCCTAGTCTGTGGAAAGAAGGGGTGTCTATTCTTCCCACCCCATATAGCTAGGACACCTAAGGACCTTCTCATTTTTTTTACTTTTTAATTGGGACTTTGGGGTGGCTAGTATATAATGGCCCTGTCCAACCCTCTACGCCACACATTCAAAACACAGCCTCATCTATGCACACATGCAAAAGGCACAGCAGCAGACTGCCCCCCATCCCATTCCACAGCCGAAGCATACAGATTAGATGAATCATGGTTGGCTATCATTCTTTCTCCCCACGCATTAGTCATTGGTGTAATGACTGGGGAAGGGAAGATCTGCATCCATGTCAGGAATTTGGGCCTACCAACCCCAGTGCTGCGTCCCACTATTTTTTCCTTCTTGTTGATGCTGTCATGAAAACTGGCCAGGTCTTGGGGTCCCAGAAGAATTTGCCTGGGGGACCAGAGCAGGCCCTCAAACTAGGCTAGCTACCCCTACAGTTCCTACATCAAAGGGGTCAAGTCCACAAAGAAAAGATAACAAATAAGCAGTAAACACGTGTCAGGAAGCCACATCCAATAGCAGCTTCCCAATTCCAACCACATGTCCGTCACATGTCTCTAAATGTTTGGGGACATGTCTAGCTAAATGGGAGTGGCATTTTCTGCAGAGAGAAAAAGAGAGGGGGAGGGAACAGTGCATGCACCATGCCACAAAGTATAAAGCAACTCTGAAATAAAATAATATCAATGATATTCTTTGTCTTCCTCCTCATATACTATTTCAGATTTGAAGCATTAGGGCAAGTAATAGGCATTTAGGACCAGCGTATTAATGAACATATTACCTGTATGTTGTGAACAGGAGTAGAAAAAACACAAAGCAAAGCAAAACGGTTCCATGTTACTTGCACTGCTGTAATACATTACGATGCCAGTCAGACAACCATATAGACTTACGCTCAGGCCTTGGAGTCAGGCATGCATCACAGAGTTTGACAGACGGCTTGTTTATCAGCGTGCATAGTGTACAGGCCCACTCCTCTTCCGATTCCTGAGCAACTTGTTCCTTACAAGACGACCCCCTGCTGTACGCCCAGCCAATTAAACCATTTCTTCCTGGCAGTTTGCTGCACAATGAAAGAAAGGGGGAAATTGATGTTAACATGTTGAGAGGTTTGTTCTGAGCGTTGTGTTCCACCAGGGGTTATATGGGAGATTCAACACTGGATTCTAATAGCTTGGCCACCAGCGAGGGGGAAAGTTGGGCTGCTGCGTCTGGTAGCTTGGAGGCTCCAGTTTCGCCTTGAGGGTTTATCAAGGCTGTGAACTTGGCTATCGAGACATGGAATGGGAAGGGCACTATTCCCGCCCCTCAAAAGTGTATTTCCCAAAAAACAACAATAAGAGTTTACTTATTTCAAAGCACTGGGTGATAAAACACAGTGGCATATCAGCCACCTGTACCGGGGATGGCTACTGTTTGGCTCTCTGGAAGCTCTTCAATCATTACGCCAACCATTCCTGGTGGTTGGCCATGCTGGCTTGAATTGATGAAGTCCAACAATGTCTGAAAGGTCACAGGCAGCCCATCCCTGATCTATGCAATCCAGCCCTTCTAGACTTTCCAAATAGATTCAATACACATGCTAGGCCAGGAAGTGATGGAGATTAGGTTCCTCCCTTGCCCTGTACAGTCATAACAGCTGCCATATATAGAGGGCTCTATACACATGTTCCTATGGACGCGTGTAGATCAGAAGAGGTCTGCCCACTCTGTCCCCCGCTTGTGATTGGAACTGTTGTTTCATGCTTCTGTGTATCCTGCACTGAGATTGTTAGATACAGATGAGTTATTTTGATCTGGGGGGTGGGGGGTGGGGACATAAAAAGGAACTTTGTGTTCCGGCCTAATTCTCAAATTCTTCCATACTTGAAAATTGGATTTCAACAAAATAACCCTGATTGGGCATCGTTCCTCATGTATTCAAGAATCAATCATATGAGGAGGAGAGAGTGGACTTATGCTTGCTAGCTCCAACCCCACAGCCTCCAATATCCATTCATTGTGGGGGCAGCCTGTAGATGGGACAGGATGCTAATGTGCAGGCTCCCCCCTTGTGATTTGGAAACCAGGGAATGGAATGAATGATGGAAGCCATTTTCAATCACATGTTTCTTCTTGCTTTCCCATCTCAGCGGTTTGTTATCCTGACCAAACCATAGTTTAACGTGGCATGCTATCACTGCAGTCTTAAATGTACCTACCCAAAGAGTACACCCGATTTTTTTGCGGGGGGAGGGGAGAGAAGAGGAGAAATACATAATTCATTCTAAGAAAAAGGCAGGTATTGCATCAGGCCAGAGAACTGCCCTCACAGCAACGGTTTAGCTATACAGTGGTACCTCAGGTTAAGTACTCAATTCGTTCCAGAGGTCCGTTCTTAACCTGAAACTGTTCTTAACCTGAAGCACCACTTTAGCTAATGGGGCTTCCCACTGCTGCCACACCGCCGGAGCACAATTTCTGTTCTTATCCTGAAGCAAAGTTCTTAACCTGAAGCACTATTTCTGGGTTAGTGGAGTCTGTAACCTGAAGCATATGTAACCTGAAATGTATGTAACCCGAGGTACCACTGTACATGGATACCACTGGGGGACATCCATGAAAGTAGGCTGCTGCCCTCCTTCTGGGTTTTCCAGAGGTATCTCGTGGACCAAGGTAAGAAACAGGATGCTGAACTAGGCAAGCCTTTAGTCTTAAATAGCAGAATTCTTCTTATGTTCTTAAAACGATCCTCCCTGAAAATCTCTTCCAATTTAGCTAGAAGGTAGCAGAATTTTTCTTTTCTCCCCTTTTCTGAATCGTGGAGAAAATATTCTCAATAAAAGCTTGCCCCCCTGGTGCTCTCAGTAGACATCCTCCATCTGCAGCTTAACAAGCTGAAACCCTGCTGCCTGCATTATTTTGCATGAGAGAAACAAGGGGATGAAAATAAGATATCTGTGTGACTCCAGCAGTGAATGCGCTCCTTAACCCTACTGTTTTAGAATCAGGGAATACGGCCCTAAAAATAACCACTTTGTCTAAGGGAGAGAAGAGGTGGGATGAGAAATATTTAAAGGAAGACGAAGAAAAAGTAGGTGGGCTACTTACAGCACAAACCTATGCATGCCTTCCTTGAAATAAGCCCTGCTGTGTTCAATGGGACTTCCTTACCAGGATTTAGGATTGCAGCCTTGCTGTACCCCACTTTCTGTGGAAAGTGCCTTTAGGATTGCAGCCTTGCTCATCGAATGCAGGAAATGTTCATTATATCACTAAGTTCCATTGATGTACTACAGGGAGTCCCGCTCCCAAGAGACTGCAATCTACTCACACTATAAAAAAACTTGCAGTGATCTACCCATTGGATTGACCAAAGTTGTTAAGCTTTTTTTAGGGAGCCAAAGTATTTTTTTGGGGGGTGAATCAGTCAGGATCACATGAAAGACATGGATCGACCAGGGAGGCCCTGCGATCTACCAGTAGATCGTGATTGACCGGTTGGACATCCCTGCTATATAGCAATACTTTGGGTGGGTAGGGAGGGAGGGGAAGAAGTCTGTTGCCTGATTAATCAGGACATTTAAAAAATAAGGTGATTCAACCCTGCAGCCCTAGTACAAACATCCATTTATTTATGAGCAAATATTGCAAGGAAGCAACTATTCTCCTGTAAATGTGGAGTACAAATATGTGATCTTACTGTTAAACATGTTATATACCCTGATATTTTGTGAGAGAGCAGTATATTCTTTCGGATAACAACTTATTCATTTATTTCCAGTGTATTCAGGCATTTTGTAAACATAGATTGATAGCAATTGACCGGTTGGACATCCCTGGTGCACATTCAACTCTTTTCCTGTGGTAGCCTATTCATATCTACTTGGTCCCAATAAGTTCAATAGGATTCGCTCCAAGGTTTAGCGTACAGAATTGCTGGCTTAATTCAGGTGGCTGGGCAATGGGCAGGGGTAGCCCAGAGAGAGGAGGAAGGAGTGACAGAAAAATACAGAATGCCATTTAAAACAAACAAACGCCAAAGGTTGGATTTTGACACTGGACAAGCTGGAGAGCTATTGAGCAAAAGGTTAGCATTTCTAAAACCAGCTCTTCTCAGAATGCTGAGATAATTTAGAAAATGTTTGATAAAGGTGAACAACCTACCCAGGATCCACAAGCTGAGGCTTGTCCTTTTGGCACAGAGGACAGAAGTACGTCATTCTGTTATTCTCTCCTAAGCGGCACACCGTGATCTTTGCTCTGCACTGACTACAGTTAGGGCGCTTGTACACCCTGTAATGCTTATACAACGCTGATCCCGTCTTGCGACACTGGAACAGAGAACTGAATTATTATTCGTGTGATTTAGAAAGCCAGAGCTCCAGCCCATTGTCAAATCATTTTATCCTTGACTAGAAAAAATAAAATAAAATCCAAAAAGAGAGATTTAAATACATTCACACTTTGGGCAGTTAAAAAAAGTTCCATGAATTTGAGAAATTCCTGTTTTTCTGTCCTGGAAATTAGCTTCCCCTTTATAGAATGATCTCCCCAGAGGAATAACCATGCATCAGCCTTGTTTTGGCACCAGGCAAAGAGGTTTGTTTTCCTAGGGCAGCACAAATGATGCTATTTTGTTAAATCTGCTTTTAATATGTTCTTATAAATTTATCATTGCTTTTTTTTTAATTGCTTGTCAATCACTGCAGGGCTTTTGTTGTTGTCAGAAAAAGACAATGCACATTTTTTCTCTCAATTTTTAAAATTAATTTTCACAAAATTATAAATGAACAAAACAAACATACAAACAAAAATCATAACCTTATTAAAAATTATACTTATTGACCTTGTTAAGTGACTTCCTCGCTTCCCCTTGGTTGAAATTCAACAATGCACATTTTTTTGTGAACCAATAAGCTCTTTAATTTTTAAAAAAGTTATATATATATATATATATATATATATATATATATATATATGTTACAAACCCATATTTCTTATTTGCAAAATAAGCAAAAGGTTATCAGCAAAAAAGAGAAAAGAAACCATCAACATTTCCCCTAGCTTTCTGACTTACAGGTAAGCAAGACGTCAAGCAATGCAATTCATCTTTTAAGGACAGTGCAAAGGATGATGGGTTAGTTACCAGTTCTCTGGCAGTTGCCATCAATGGTGCTTAAGCACCAACCAACCTGGACAGAAAAAGCTGATAGTGCAGCACTCCAGGAGAGTTCACATTACATTTTTCTTATTAAAAAAATAATCAAACAGAAACCTAGCATGCTGAAGACCAAAACCACTTCCCCTGGTTGTGCTACCTTTCTATATCCAGATAATTTCTGATGGCTTGGGAACATTGAATCATGTAATTCTCTGCCTGGGCTCTCTAGTGGAGTGGCACAGCTCTTTCCTACTTTTTCTAAATACATCAGTTGGCCCCAAGTCCTATGAAAATTAAAAGACTCAAGTGCATTTCCCTTTGGATTCCACAGGCAATTTTCAATCAGCCAGGGAGAAAAAGCCTCTTCAATCAATTGGCTGGGTGAAGCAATTTTATACTAATGGTGTTAAAAACATTTTTACTATCAAGACACATGTTCAGCATTTACATTTTAATGCAGTTTTCGAAGATCTCTTGAGAAAGGGCTTTCTCCCTACCTTATAAAAGAGTAGCGTGAAATCCCGAGTCATTTTCACCAAGTGATGTACTTGCTCATCCGTTAGCTGACAGGCCTGGAATTTGGAGCAGAGGTTTAAAAAACGACAGCCAAGGACTCTCCAAGCCACAGTGGGTCACTGCTTAAAATAAAGAAAGGCTGAGGACATGGAACCCCTATCTTAAGAAGCCACATCACTGGTAACGGGACAACTAGAATTGTTTTAAGGCTGGTATCCTATGGATATGTATCTGGGAGTATACCACATTGAAGTCTGTGGACTTTCTTCTGAGAAGACATGTATAAAATTCTACCACAAACATGAACACCAGGTAGTGCCATTAACTTCTGTCTTGACAATCACTTAAAGGGGATCAGTGCTGGAATTTTAATCAGCTTGGTTACAACTGAACTATGGCTGTTTCCAGGTCCCCTTTCCCACCGGCCTCTCCAGATCAAATGTAGGGAGTTGATATACAGTGGACCCACCATTTACGCAAGGATTTGGTTCGGGGGGCGGCACACATAAAGTCAGGAACCCCCAAGGAGATAAATATCATCATAGGACTTTTCAGGCACCAGAAAATCATCATCAGGGACCAATTTTATCATCGTATGGCTTTTAAAAAAGATACAGTGGTACCTCGGTTTATGAACTTAATCCGTTCCTGAAGTCCGTTCTTAAACCAAATCCGTTCTTAAACCGAGGGGCACTTTCCCTAATGAGACCTCCCACCCAATAGTGCCCTTCCACCATTTGGCTTCGGTTCGTAGACTGAGGTAAAGTTCGCAAACCGGAACACTACTTTTGGTTTTGCGGAGTTCGTAAACCGAATAGTTCGTTAACAGGGCTGTTCATAAACCGAGGTACCACTGTACTTGAATACTTTGTGAGTTTTTACTACTTTTTAAACTGTTCATTTTAGCACACTTGCCCAATATGGAAATATCAACCTGAATTATTTTCTTCTCAAGACCACTTATTTAATTTGTAAGGAAAAGCAATCTTCGTTACTTGCATGCCACATCCCTTTTGTGAGAAGATTCTTTTGAAGATTCTTCTGCTTTTTGAAACTGCCATGGCCAGGTGCCTAATATTCTGTTACCATTATGAAAATGGTACAGATTTGCATATATTTTCTTAAACTCTGGTTCTCGCAATTCAAACCTGCAAGCAGGAGGAAGCCAGGAATATTTCACATACTTTAACAACTGGATGGAGACCACTGTCAAAAAGTGCTTCGTTCTTTATTATGTTTCCCACTCCAGGTAGGACTGCCTGGTCGAGCAACACATCACATAACATACGTCCCTTTTGCTTCTTAATTTCACCTTCTGCTCTTAGAAAACTAAATTCTGGAGAGCATACATCCAAGTTTTCTAGCATTCTGACTTTCTGTTCACATTCAGCAGCATTCCTGCAAGGTTAAGGGAGGGGGGTATATGTTGTAAGCGGAGACTAGGTGAGCAATGCATTGTGCAATTAAAATATTTAAGTAGTTGTTTTATCAGTAGGTAGTATCAGAGAGAGAAAACAAAACTGCCCAAAGCCAGGCTGGATTTAGCAGGAAGCAATCCATAGTTCTAAACCAGGAACTTTTTTTTTAAGCTCCATTCTGATTTACCACAGTTTAACATTATGCCAGAACTGTAAACTGTGGTTAACCGTAACTATGGGTTATTGAATAAAACTTCATAAGCAAAAGTTTGAAATTAGCTTGTCTAAGCAAACCAGGGGTGTGAAACCTTTTCCAGTAGATGGAACAAAATCCCATCCCAGATCTCTTTGGCAGGTGGGTGAGGCTACCAACCAGTCCATCACCTGATATTTGTATACCAACATTTGGAAGACTACAGGACTCCCATTACTATATAGCAATACTTTGGGTGGGTAGGGAGGGGAAGAAATCTGTTGCCTGATTAATAAGGGCATATTTTTAGTCAACTTTTAAGAAATGAATGAATAAGTTGATTCAACCCTGCAGCCCTAGTACAAACATGCATTTATTTATGAGCAAAGATTGCAAGGAAGCAACTATTCTCCATTAAATGTGGAGTACAAATATGTGATCTTACACATGTGTTCTTATATCGCTGTGCAATGTAGTGTTATACATATTATACCCCGATATTTTTGTGAGAGGGCAGTATATTCTTTTGTAAGTTTTATGGATAACAATTTATTCATTTATTTCCAGTGTGTATCCAGGCATTTTGCAAACATCTATTCTTCTACCACCACCACCCCGCTTATAAAGCAAATAAAAGGAACTACTTGAATTTAAGCATAGTTTTCGCTTGATTTAAGCCATCTTGCAACGTTTCCAACTTGGAGCCACCGTATTTCCCCCTTCAGGAACTCTTGTAAAAACGTATCACAGGAAAACATGCATGGCTTTACCTAAGTTCAACAGTTGCATCGTAGAAACAAACCAAATCATTAGTAAGTTGTATTTCCAGAACTGTCCATTCTCCACTTCTGTTCTGGCTTGCATCTGCACTTATAAGCAAGGAACCATTCATGCCAAAGTGGATCCTAGAAAAGAAAGACATTTCTGAATATCCCTCAGTTCAGAACATTAACTATTTCCAGCTTATCACCTACTCTGGCATAACTCCAACTACAATGGCTATGGCTGCTGAACAGACTGATGAACTGGGGTACTGTTTGGGGCTTTAGTTGGGGTTCTTCTTTTGCTGTAATTGGTATTAATTTTTTGTATCTTAATCTCCCCCTTCTATGGTCATCAGCTGTTTAGCTATACAGTGGTACCTCGGGTTAAGTACTTAATTCGTTCCGGAGGTCCATTCTTAACCTGAAACTGTTCTTAACCTGAAGCACCACTTTAGCTAAGGGGGCCTCCTGCTGCCGCCGCGCCGCCGGAGCCCGATTTCTGTTCTTATCCTGAAGCAAAGTTCTTAACCTGAAGCACTATTTCTGGGTTAGCGGAGTGTGTAACCTGAAGCGTATGTAATCTGAAGCGTATGTAACCTGAAGTACCACTGTATATATATTTGTCTCAACACATTCACCTCCATGTGAGCACCAATCCGCTAATGAAGGCCTTTGTCACACTGCGTGAACAAACGGCTTTTTGCTAGACTGTGCATCTCTTACAAACAGACTCTTGTCTACCAGCTTCCTCTCTTTTCTGCAGTTCTAGACAATCACTACAACCAGATGCAGAGCTCTTCTTATATTCTTATGTCAACGGTTGAAAAGTTTGCAGTCGGTATGAGAATGCGTTCAGCGGCCTAGTTCAAATACCGCACTAAGCCAAACCACAACTTATCACAAAAGCGTGTGGTTACGCAGAGAAGTAATGCAGCCACTTTGATCCCTCCTGGTCATTGTCATGCTTTCACTGAGCTAAGTCATGGCTTGGGGTGTGATTTGAACCCAGGCTCATGGTTTAGCTCTCTCCAGACTCACCATGAGTTTTAACCAAGGTTTGTCCTATGGTTTATGGCTTGTGGTTTGTTCAGGAGAGCTAAACCAAGAACCCTGGTTTGGATGACAGAGTAAGCTGAACCATGGGCTTAGCTAGCTCAGCAACAGTACCACCAAGGAGGAGCAAGGCAACCATGAGCTCCTCTCTGGGAGCTGCACTTGAGTGTTCATGCAACACCTTGGTTTGGCTTAGTGTGAGATGCAAACCATGTCAGCGTGCAGAGATGGAGAGAGCAAGCAACACCTTTTTTTAAAGCCCAGTTTTTTCAACAAAGCTTAATAAAGTTGGGCAATATTTCCTCCAAATTATGTACACTTTACTTACCGCAAGGCTTTCTGTCCAAAATACATGAACAGCTCCTTCCCCAGAGTTTCCACACCACTGTAAACACATCCATTAAGCACACTTAAGACGTCTTGACTGGATACTTTATTCCCAATCACCTGAGTGGTGTGAAAACAATAAAAACAACAATAAAATAAAAATAAGTAAAGGGAATTTTGTGCCAAATATAAATCTAAGAATGTATGATGGAACTCCTTCTAGATAGATTTTAAAAGCACAGAAACCAAATAGGTGCGCCAAAAAGAATCTGAGATCAAAATGGTGGTTTTAAAAACACAAATGGCCACTTGGACAAATCTTCCAATGTTTGTACAAAAGAAAACTAATTACATTCGTGCTAAGCTCCGCTTTGGTCCTTGTCAGTTTGCTCTGAGTTCTCCAGCTGAAAGACTCGTGAAACCAAATGCCCAAATATTTGTATGAAGCCAACTTGTGCAAGTCTATGGTTATCCACTAGGACCCTTCTGTCAGTACAACAGAATGTAAGAAATGATTCAAGCAAAAACTCTTGGAAGACTACATGCTAAATGCTGAACACTATGCATCAACACTTAGCTATTTATTTGCCAAACTACTATAATATGCTGACACTGTTTATGAAATATCTTCCTTGCTACTCACACAATATTAAATAATTTAAAGGCCCAAGATTACTGTTTTCTCAATTGCCAATTTGTTCTTTGAATTTCTAGATGTCTTTGTGAAATAGAACATGTTGTAAACTGAAGGTCATGGTGTAATTTATGATTATTTCAGACAGGATAACAACTTGCTGTTGGATGCATAAAATCTGAGGGTGAATGGGAGCGAACTTAGGCTTCTTTAGAAGTGGTTTTCCATCAGCCTGACCAAAGCCAGTATCAGTTTTGAATAGTTTGGTGCATTTCAATAACATGTTTCAGGGCCAATTTACTTTTGAGTGCATCCAACAAGGCATACAGTTGATAATGACCTCGTTTTTCAGATGTTTTTCTACACCAGCCCTGCATAACTGGTTCATTCTCAAGCCAAACTCAGCCCACTGGCCATACATTATGGCCTGACAGATGCTTGACAACCGCTTCATTTTTGCTCTCCCAATCACACCGCAAAAGCAGGAAATTCATCCAGCTTTGTGACTGTGATTCAAGTAAAAATAGGCTCATGAGGAAGGGTGGACTGAAGCTTATTCTGTTCAACATGTAACGAGAGTGTTCCTTAGTTTACAGTGTGCCATGCTGGCTGTAGGCTTCCACATACTATGCCCTGCCATTGTTAACCATGAATGTCATTTTTTCCTCAAGCTAAGCAAGGCTAAGCCATCACTGGCGATCATCTGGAAGCAAATCCACCCACGGTATGGTGCCTTAATCTACCACCTCCTAAATAGCAGAGGCCATGTACAACAAACAGATGATGCCTTTTCCAAGTTGATTATGTACACGCTGTTTGAAAACTGCTTTCAGGAAATGACTTTACTTTTCAAAGTATATTCTCTGGAGAAAGGAGCTAGAGTCCGGTAAGCATACGGAAAAAGGAACTGGTACTAGAACAGTCAATTGCATTGGTTCTTAGTGGTCTATGATCACCCTGCCTCCCAGCCCAGTGGCCACCTCAGCTTGGAAGAAATCATACAACTGAACTTGACCCTGCAGGTTTTTTTGTATCCAGACACTTACCAGAGGAACACAAGAAGATACCACAGGGCTTCCATGTCACTGGCATTTAACATGAATGGGGACTAAGTCTCCACAAACCTTTATCACAGGATAGAAGTGTTCTTAGACACCCCAAAACTGAGGAAAGGGGATGACATGGTTTTGTGAAAGACAACCCTCACTGAATGAAAACAACAACTAGAGAGAAAGATTATAACCTCGAATTCCTCCAAACACACTACATGTAGTTTTCTGTGTGCGCAAGTTTGGGAGGTGCAGTTAGTCATGCGATTCCCCTTGCCTGCCACTGAGGTGTGAAGAAATTCAAGTAAGTAAGACTGACTATTTTTTATTGCTATGTTTAGTGGGGGGGGGGGTTTCATGATACTGTGAGCTACCTTGGGTAAGGCATGTAACTGGCTGACTGACCGAACCCAAAGGGTGCTCATCAATGGTTCCTCTTCATCCTGGAGAAGAGTGACTAGTGGGGTGCCACAGGGTTCTGTCTTGGGCCCGGTCTTATTCAACATCTTTATCAACGACTTGGATGATGGACTCAAGGGCATCCTCATCAAATTTGCAGATGACACCAAACTGGGAGGGGTGGCTAACAACCCAGAGGACAGTGGCAGTGACTCTCCAAAGTTTCAGGCAGGGAGCCTTCTCAGCCCCACCTGCAGATGTCAAGAGATTGGATGTGGGGCCTTCTGTGGGAAACACACCAGACTCAGTGCCTCGTGCTGAGTTGTTTGGCTTTGTGTACAGCTACAAGGTGCCCAGATTCTACTGAGTAAAAAAAAGCTACAGTATCCTAGGGAAAAGCAACACAAGTTATGTTACAAAGGCAAAATAAAAGATACCACTTGTTAAAAAATATATATACAAAGTGCTGTCGGGATTTACTATTTATGCCAAACATGTCTTTACAAACAACCTAAACAGAGAACACTTTGTGCATTTTCAATATCTACTATATATTTCCAACGAAAGACCACGTAACCAGAGTACTTTTGAGGATTATGTTTCCTCTAATAAAATTTCCTTGCTTGCACTTGAACAAAGACAGGGTGGGTGGGTGGGGAGTCTCCTCCATACCCCCCACCCCACCAATCAGGAATACAGCCTTGGATGTTCACAGCTCATTAACCCAAGCTGCTCATTTATATTCCAACATCTTTTCCTCTATAAAGTTCCACAAGCCCCAACAGAGTAATTTTATGCTGGCAACACAAGTGATCAAAACTTGTGGAGAAATTGCATGCTGTGTACATGGGGAAAGAAGTGGGGAAGCGGAGGAGCAGAACCCTATTCCCTTGTCCTGTGCATTCACACCAACAGCAGGCCTCATTAGTACATTTTTAAGCAAACAAACAACTCCATCCACCTGCTTTGCTTTTTTTTCCCTGTGAGCCAATTTCAGTATGTGATCTTTCCCTGTACTTTTCTTTTTAAAAAAACCTCCATGACAGTGACTCTATAGCAGATATTGTATAACAGGCTTCCTTATAATAATTTTTTATTATTTATTTAAATTTTTATTTTTTAAAAAATTGCCATCTTCCTAATTAGGCAAAGTGACTCGAGGACACTTTCCTCATTATTTCTTACATGTGTTAGATGTTTGCCCAAGCTCTACCAACTCTTCAAATTAATCAGACTCGTTATGGTTGATTTATTATGTTAATGGCAAGAATATATTACAGATTGCCAGTTATTTCTTTTTAAGTGTTTTGTGCAGGGGAAAAACAAAAAACAAAAAAACCCCTCACAAACAGCTGCCCGAAATCGCTGAAACAGTCAGAAGTGATGATTACTGGGGACGAGACGATTGTGTCAGCTATACAAACCTCATGTCAATCAGTCATGTCTGTTGTAATTCTGACATGCAACAAAGGAATGTTTACTGGGCAACCTTGCAGATGCTTAGTTTTAGGAACAGGACTGGCAGCCTGGATGGCATACATCGCTGTTGCAACCTATACAATGTGTAACATGCCCTGCCCAATACTGTGCCACAATATTATAATATAGAGCCTAACAAAATGGAATGAAGGGGACCAAAGGGCACCATACTTGCCATGCAAACATCATTGGTAAAAACTCAGTGGTAAGATTTATTTAAGTACAGTGGTACTTTGGGTTAAGAACTTCATTCGTTCTGGAGGTCTGTTCTTAACCTGAAACTGTTCTTAACCTGAAGCACCACTTTAGCTAATGGGGGCCTCCTGCTGCCGCTGCGCTGCCAGAGCACAATTTCTGTTCTCATCCTGAAGCAAAGTTCTTAACCCAAGGTAATATTTCTGGGTTAGCGGAGTCTAACCTGAAGCGTATGTAACCCGAGGTACCACTGTATTCATATGCCATTTCCCTCCTTTACAGTCTGCAAATCTGCTCATGGCAATAACCTTTGTAAACGCATCACACGCTGATACAGCCCTAAAATCCTATCAACACAACCAATAACACATTCAGTCCTTTCCATTAGTTTAAATGGGTTTTCTATAATGGATGCATTTTCAGGAACAGCAGCTGAAGTAATCCTAGCAAGTCGTTTCAGTCACGGGGCTTTGGGGCTGAGGCAGGAAGCGCTGTTGTTGCAATGCCACACCCTCGTTGTATGGAAGCCTAGACAAGAACAGCTTCCTCCCGGGAACACGTCTGTGCCAATGTGTGGGTGTTCAGACCCAGGGGCCAGCGCTTTTCCAACACCAGGGAGCAGAACTAGCAATCTGCCCTCTGCCCTTATCACACCAATAATATGCAAAACGGGCTTAAAGCAAGCTGGCGTGTGGATCCTGCTCACTGATCTTCATAGAATCAGAGGTGGAAGGGACCCTGAGCATCATCGAGGCCTCCCCCTGCAATGCAGGAACATGCAGCTGTGCCATAAAATGGGATCAAACCTGAAACCTTGGCGATATCAGCAAATACTCCCATCAGCAGCAGGCCCGCAGCCAACTTGGAGGCTGGTCAGGGATGGGGGGGGGGGGCGGGGAGCTGCAGTCCAAAGACACCTGGAAGACCACAGGTATTCCTCGTTTTTGCTTGTGGACTCCCAGAAGCAGATCTGGCTGGATGTGTCTTTGGATAGCCCTAGAATCATAGGGCTGAAAGGAACCCCGAGGGTCATCTATCTTCACTTAAAGCATCCCTGACAGGTGACCATCAACCTCTGCTCTTATGAAGGGGGAGGGAGCCCTGGGAACAACGCCGTCCGACTCCTTCCCTGCAGTCATTCCTATAACCACAGCGGGGGTGGAGCGGAGGTTTAGATCCGCGCCGGCTGCGGAGTGCAGACGCTACTAACCGTGTTAGGGGAAGAGGCGGCCGCGGGAGCGCCTCGTCCTGCCGTGATCTTAAACCGGGCCGGGGGTGTCGACGGGGCTCTTCCCCGCACGCCCCGCACCGCCTGCCCGGGGGCCACGCGGGCCCGGATCTTCTCCCCGTTCAGCGTGCAGCCGGGACCTTCCACCATCCTCCCGCCGTTGGGGGGAAAAAGAAAAAGCGTTCAAATTTCCCGCCTGCCTTGCCTGGCCGCTGCCCCGCCCCGCGCTTCCGCCTCCGGGAGTTTTGTGCGCAGGGTCCCGGCGACTCTGAGCTCGAGAGCTCCTCCGCATGTAGAAGGAACGGCTGGGATTTCAGGGTTCCTGCCAATGTGTTTTGCAGTCCCTGGATCCCTTTCCCTCCCTCCCTCTGTCTTCCATAAAAAAAGGGGGGACTGCCTCCGTATCTGGCGCGTATTCAAGATCACTGATATTTGAGCTGCAGATTCTCTTCGCATTTACCGGGGGTGCGGGGAGCAAGCCCCATTGAGCTCAGTGAGGTTTCCGAGTAGTTGTAAGGGGGCTCCATGGGTCATCTAGTCCAACCCCCCTTCAGTGCTGGACTCTTTTGCTTGAGATTAAGAGTCTCCTGCTCCACCGACTGAACTGCTGTTGATGCAACACAGAGTATATTTACACCGAAAGTGAAGCCTTAGAGTTGCCAGGGCTTGGGCATGGTTGTGTGGCAGAAGAGAGACTTGTTTTTCTTTAAACTGGGAAATCCTGCAGCAGCACGGTGTATCATAATTGTATATGCCAATGAAGTCAATTGATAATTATGTTTGTTCTGAGTATGACTTAGTTGGAGGGGACCCTTGAAAGTATCATGTAAGTGCCCTTACGAAGAATTCCAGTTCATATCCATGCATTTGTCTGAGGTCCAGTTCATCCAGTCCCCTAGTGTGTAGGCTGTGTATATGTGCCAGGAATAGATATGTGTCTTGAGCACACATTCACACATGATCATGTAACCAACACTGGATAATTTAGCTGGTTAAAGTGTGGTGCTGATAACATCAAGGTTGCAGGTTTGATGCAGCTGCATATTCCAGCCGATGAGTCTCAGGGCCCCTTCCAACTCTACAGTTCTCTGATTCTATGTGTAATTCCTCTGCGCCAGACAAGAGGTGGAATAATTGCACAGCTAGGCTTAATGTGCAGGCACCACTTGTTTTAAAATTGCATTCACGCCCCGTCTCTCCTTTAAGGAGCTTGCATGGATTTCTACCTCCCATTTCGTGCTCACAACAACCCTGTGATGTATGTGACAAGCTGAGAAGGCGTGATTGGCTCAAGATGACCCAGGGAGCCTGGCAGCCTTGTTAGGATCTGAACCTGGGTCATCCAAATTCTAGTCTGCTCTAGCTCCTTTTTTTCATCCAAAGATTTTACAGTATAATGAAGGGAGCCCAAAAAACTTTCTGTCTCTCTTGCTTGAGCTCTGCTGTAGGTTAGCCAGTCAGCATATTGGAAAATATTAGCATGGAAGACATCAGCAAGCGAAGGATTCTCTGCCTTTCCTCTTAGTTTTTCTTCTGCCAAGATGTGCCTCTTCTCTTTGCCACTGCTGCTATCCAAATGCCAGGATTCCAGGTGCCTTGTTGCAAGCCTTTATCAGCTGCTTGCATATGTGCAGCACTTCATTTTAATTAGCCTCGAGATCCAAGTCTCTGATGGAATAGCAGGGGTCCCTAATTATCTTCACAAACTAGTGATCTGCCCAGAAAATGAGGAATGAATAAGGCATTAGGCAGTCAGAGGCCAGTAGTACAATCAAGGAGAAAAGCAGAAAAAAGTGGAGGATAAGGAAATCAGTTTTTCAATGACTTGTCGGATGCCAAATTAGTTTTAACCATCTTTGCATTTATTAAAAATTGGCTGATTTTAAACATTGTATGTTTGTCTTCTAAACATATTTATCTGTTGACACACATAACACACATGCAGGTAGCATTAATATCATATAACTTTTCATAATTATATTCATTTAGCAATTCATATTTTCTCAAAGATATAACTATATTAGCCTTGTTTTTAACAACCTGCCAAGTAGCCATAGGCAGAGAATGCAGATATATAATACTGAAAAAAATAGCTGTTTGGGTGAAATAATCCTAAAATATTTTTATTTAAAGTGATAACCACATTGTCATCTGACAGAATCTGATGTCTCTCTTAGACACAGCAATCAGCTTGGATAAATTTGCTAAGTGAGACTGGTTTTACCCATTTAAGTCTAGCAGGCGTTAAGATGCAACCTGTTCTATTGATATTGAGAGATCTGTAAGTCAGATGATCAATAAGCGCTACTCAAGAGATCTGGTGTCCGTTGTTGTCAGAAACCATTAATATATATTTTCTCCTATAAATTATAGAGCCAGCTCTTTCCAATAATACATCTGTTACCCTTTGAAAGTAATCTGTTGTTTTTGTCTTTTTCAAACTGATTTCTTTTTCCACTGTTAGATCCATGTGGGCCTTTGCTACTTTATTCCTGATTACCATGGGAACATCAGGTAGAAAACAGTAAAATTATTGGCTTATTTTAATTTTTTTCTGGACATAATCGTCCAATCTTGTGCGTATTTACTTCAAAAGACATATAATCACAATCAATTGGGCCTACACCACATAGGTGTGCCTGAAGTTTCTACAAGTTTGGAGAGGGGGGGGCAACTACTTGCAGGCACCTATTTACAGATTGTGAGATGGCCTCTTTTGCAGTGTGCAGACATTCAGGGGTAGCTAAAATGGCACTAGAAAAATAGCCACCCATTGGTGTAGTAATGTAATTTTAGATTCTGAACTTAATCATCTAATGACCCAGGTATATAAGGGCTCTTTGAGTGGCAGTGTATAATACAGTACTTCACTCACTTCCGACTCTGATCATAAATGGTCTTATGTATCCTACCCACCCTTCAGATGATAATGTGCATACTACATCCCTTCAAAAGGCAATGCAGCTTTGCTGAAATTGGGTGCGCTCCTGTCCATCCTGCTTAAGTGGGTCTCTGGACCTCTGTCCCAAAGCCCTACCCTCTGCAGTACTGGTGGTGGGAGCAATGAACTCACCCATCCTTCTAGTAAGTGTGTGCCATAGTGAGAGAAATCCGGCTATATTAAACAGCCACGGTGTTAATCATTTTAAAAGGCTTTGGGAATCTGAGCGGGGTTTTTTTTAAGCATCTCCTCATGTGATGGCTGATCATTATAAATAGAATTCATTTTAAATGAATGAAGACTCTGGAGTTTTAATTATTGGTATTCACAGGCTGGACTTGACAAAGGGCCTGAATGCTCTCAGAAGCAACTAAGAATCAAAGCCACGTTATTGATAATGAAGCTTAAAAGGCTTAGCCATTCTTTATGTAATCAAAAGTAACTATTACAGACATATCACAGCATAGAGGTTGTGTAAATTTTTTGTGGGGGGGACCACTGTAAACTCTATCAGTAATCCCTTTAAAATGTCTGACATGCCATTGGAAGAGAAGCTGGGGAGGTAGATAATTTCCATAGGTAATTTTCAATTACCTTCATTTTCATCAGCAGACCAATGAGGATACACTGTAAAAGTTAACTGCATACACTTCCTCAGTGCTGTTCAGTTGCCATTTCTTCAGCAGGTGCAAAGCAGGCGTGGTGATGCTGTTTATCGGGCCAGATTGGATTACTGCAGTGTGCTATATGTGGGGATGTCCTTGAAGATAACTTGGAAACTTCAATTAGCCCCAAATGCAGCAGCCAGATTACTGGCTGAGATTTCATTTAGATCTCATATAAGCTGTTTTAAAACAGCCACACTGGCTGCCGCCTTTTCTGGGCCCAATTCAAGGCGTTCACGTTAGAATTTAAAGTCCTAAACGACTCAGGTTCCAAATATCTGTCAGTCTGCCCCTTCCCTACAGAGCTTCTCAAAATGCTGAGATCAGCAGAGGGGGCCCTCCTGATCATTCCTCTGTCCTCAGAGGTTCAGGGAAGTGGCAGCCTGGGAAACAACATTCTCTGCAGTGGCCCCAAAACTGCAGAACTCCATCCCATGGTGCATGGCCCCTGGATCATAGTCATGACGCCTTGCACAATCAGCCCTTCACACAGCCCAGTTCACAGCATTGTGGTTAAAGGGAGCAACTTGTCTCACCTATCCACCAAGCTGTTTTGGTGCAAGCTTCAGATGAATGGATGAAACAGAGATTGCCTTTGTAATCTGATGTGCACAAGGCTGCCATTATGGCCTGGCTGTAGGTTATAGCTATGTGGATAGACAAGTGCCAGTCCCAGTAACCTTTTCCTGGAATTGGCTTCCTTTATCCCTACTTTCCTCCTCCCCTTTGCCTATTTAGCCCTCTTTAAGCCTCTGCTTCCTCCTCTTCCATTCCTTGTTTCTTGCTACCTAGCTTCACTGCCCTTAGCCCTTGTTTCATCTACTCTTTCTTTCCAGCCTCGGCCTACTGCCTCTTTTGCCCCTTTCCTTTGATCTCTCCCTGCCTCCTTCCTCCTGTCCTTTCCTGGGGCATCTTTATCTGCCCTCCTGTGATACCTGAGCAGCCCAAGGAGGAGATGCTGAGTCCCAGACCTTCTGTGACAGATCGGCATACATCAGACTGACTGCCAAAGTTTGGTTAATATATGGGCATCCTTGTTAAAAGACTTTCCATTAAATGTATGCACATGTATAAGCTCTTGTTTTATTATTTTTATTATTATTATTATTATTATTATTCCCATCTGGCTGAGTTGCCCCAGCCACTCTGGGCGGTTTCCAACACATATAAAAACATAATAAATAAATAATAGTAAAGAGGGGTACAATTTCAGGAAGCCCTAGCACTTGTGCTTCTCCATCACATTCAGTTTATTGAGGTCACCTGATGGATGCATTCATCCAACAATGAAGATGGTACCCACCCCAATTTGAAGGCAAGCTGTTTCTTTTGTGTTGTGGTCATTCTGATAGTTGTCATTCAAATTCCATGCCCATTATATAAAAAAGCAATAACTTAACAATGAATGGAGAAGGTCACATTCATCTCTTCACAGCCCTTTTTTGAAAGGGGAACTACTGTATTGGTTTTGAGCTGCATCTAATCAAGCTGAAACCTTACAAATGGATACATCAGATGGACTAACACGGTCAGACTCATATATGGATGGTTGGTTTATGA